TATATAAATAAAAATGTAATGTTCGTTTGTTCCTACCGATTCCTTTGAAATTTTGACACAACGCTGCATTCGAATACGCACGTGTTTTTATATAATATACATGTCGAAATTCAACCCCACTGAAGGGAGATGATTAGGTTTAAGGCTTACGCCTTATGGTAAAGAACTCTGCTTCTATTTATACTATTTTAGATGCGGGTTTTTGCGTTTTTGATTGCGTTTTAATAGGGTACGTCAAGAGAATGCACACTAAGAAGAAATTTTTCGAAAAATTTCCCCCCCACGGGGGAAGTGTTATACATTTATAATAGATACATTTTGAGCCACAACGTGTGGCAGGGTCTGCTAGTATTTTATATTTATGTATGTTGAATATGATAATCCTTGCTTAAAAAGTTATTTTAAAACTAGTTTATTTAATTTATATGGTTTTCATTAATGTATATCTACCTATCTCCTATTTATATAAGTAACTATAGTCGTAAGTTTATGTGAATATTCCTAACTCTGTATAACTGAGGAAATGCCAAAAGTGCTCCTCTATTATCAAAAGATCAAAAAATACTAGCCAATCTATCAAAATCAGACATTTTTCATATATTTTTAAATATTTATTTTCAATATAGCTCAAACATTGACAGATATTATGTAACTTTAATAACAAAATTATTATAGATATTTTCATAAAATATCAATATGACATGACTAAATTTTCAAAAAAAAAAAAAAAACTTGTAATGGTCAAATACAAGCTTGTAACTCACTAACAGCTTGATGTTTGATCATTTTTTTTAAAGAATTTATAATTCGGTTTTCCTGGAACTGACTTTGCCACTCTTCCAGATTTTAGAATCAGAACTTTCTTTTTCATCTCGAAAGGATTAAAAAACAAACGTTAATAAAAATGAGTTTAAATACAATTTTGTCTAAAAAAAGGCATACTTCACTTTCCATGTATAAGTGATATTATAGACTGATCTCAGATAAAAATTTTTTCTAGAATTCTTTATTAAATCCTTAGTCTTTCTTATTTAAGTTAATTTAATCTAACATAGCTCTATAAATACAGAATTTATGAAGCTATGAAAAAGTGTGTGAGAGTTATTGTATATATATAGAAATGCATTAATACAAGTTATCATCATCTAAAATCTTTAATAAGGTTCCATTAAAATTAAATTAAATTAAAAATAATGAAAACTGAATATAAAATTATCAAAAGAAATCCAATAGAAAAAATTGACTCTAACTAAAGACTTTATTGCATTAATGCGCATTTAAACTAACAACAACATGAAACAAGATGATGAATAATAATTATAATTATGGAATGGTTTTATAACATATAATAAAGACAAAAAATAATAAGTAACAGCAATAAAGATCTTTACAATAATTTACAACAATGGAATGTACTGTACATTATCCAAATAAATCACAAGAATTTCAAAAATGGCTAATTGCATGCAAGATATAAATTTTTAGTCAATTATCATGCATCCATATGTTTTATCGAATTTGGAATATTTTGTACATGTAATAGCCACATTAGGGAATGTTTAAAAACTTTTCTGTGTATTAGATTTTGGATCTTGTTCACAATGTAATGCATATTAATGTATAAAAATTTAAAATAAAATAAATAAAGTGTATTTTTTTATGAGTAATAACAGTATTATTAATATGGAGATTGTTGGGACAACATTACTAAAGGCACACTCAAGTTCCTTATCAAGAAGGCTTATAATTCTCCTTCTTCATCGTAATCGTCGTCGTCATCGTCTTCATATTCTGATGGACTTAAATTTGAAGACTCATTTTCCTGCTTTTTATTGAAGAGAATTAATTGTGTGGCTCTGAAAAGAAAAATCATTTAATCAGCATTATGCCTGGTTAGAAAAAAAATTTCATTATTGTATCCTAATAATTTTTTATTAGTTAAACTTTTCTCTTTTTACTTGTTAAATTTATTAAAAATTTGAATTGTTAAATGAGTATAAATTAATATGTGAACAAATATTAGTAAATTTGAAAATTAGAATACTGTACTGTAAATAAAATTAAATAATTCTTTGCATTTGATTACTGCTAAAACTTAATTAATATAAACACAATGCATACAATTATGAATTAATGTTTCATAATAATTTTGCACATGATACTGAATTTTAAATCAAATGCATGTAAATGTCATGCTAAGAACAAAGTGTGCATATAAATATTAGATTTATTACATATGAAATATCTGGGAAAGATATTTTTTAAAATATCAGAAAAGACAAAATATGAACGACAATGAAAAAGTACTAAATGTGATATGTTAAGAACTAAAATTTGAAATTTTTAGTTAGCTTGTTGAAGAAAATCTTTTCCTTATTTCAGCAAATTTTCACTATTAAAATATGAATTTTAAAACAGAAAATGACTGTTCATCTTTTTCATTGTCCTTCTCTATGTACTTACGATTAATGGAAACTTTATTGCATATCATTCAAACAAGGAATATTAGCAAAAAACACATTGATTTGCTATATAATAAACAAAAATATTGGTCAAAACATTATTATACAAATGAATACACTAATTATTAAAAATTGATTTAAAGTCTTAAAGTAATTTCTGTAAACAACTGTTCGAATACAAAAATCATTTTGTGTTATTTTTATTTTTTCATCAATAATCATGCAAAAATCAGTATTTTATATTGATAATACTATATTGTTATTTGTTAGCAATATCCTTGTTTTTATACAAATTAAATTTATTCACCTTTTGTCCTTTCTGTTTCATTTTGAAATTTTTCATAATTATTATTCTTTATTAAATTATTACTCATACTTAATTGTATCTATCAAAGATGAATCAAATGAATTCATCACACTACAAGACTTTGGACTATCTGCATCTGGAATAAGTTTTCCTAGTGCTTGACAAAACTTTGATCCCATTTCCTCTATCTGAGCTACTCCTAAATGATAACCCTATTAAAAAAATTTGTTTTTCTAATCAATTTAGCTAAATAATTTAGATATTATTGAAAGTTTCTGAAACAACTTTACATCATATATTCCTTGATTACATCCTCCATAAGTGCATTCCATGGTGTAACTCAAAGCTACACCAAACTGTCTCCAAACAGTTATACGACCAGTTGATTCTCTACTTTTTTCTACGGCAAAAGAACAGTTTTCGATGTTGAAGGCAGGTGCAGTATGATGTAAAATTAATGGAAGGACCTACAAGTTAAAAAATTAAAAACTGAACAAATGTTTTAAATCATATACATTATAAACACTAAAATTATGAATTCACCATTGATATTAAAATATAATAGTATTGTGTGATGAATTAACATCATGATGAATATTTCTGAAACATAGCATTATTTGTATGAGATCTAAATTTGATATGATAAATGAAAAAATCACAATGAATTTACTAATTGTGATTTGGTTAATAATTGTAATGTAAAAATTTATTATTCTTCCTAGCTGGAACTGTTGTATAAATTGATACTGTACTAACCCTTTCACATATTTCCAGCAATTTTGATACATACATGTAGCAAATGTTTGCTACATGTATGTATCAAAATTGCTGGAAATATGTGAAAGGATCAGTATAGTGTCAATTTAACAATTGTAAAGCTTATGTATTGTAATTATTAATAAACTTTTTTCCTTACAAATCTGATTTCAATTTTGAAAACAAATAGTAATTGCTTGGGTAAGATCAAGACTGTAAGATAGGCGATTTAGTTCATTTCAGCGACATTTCTGCATGGCCGCATTTTCAAGAATTGATGCACTGGTGCATTGTTGTACAACGGCAACACACTGCAAGACAACTTGCCATGTCATTTTTTGTTAATGATATCCACCATTTAATGCATTAAAGAAAGCATTATATTCTCTGCTGACAATAGTATTGCGTTCTTTGAAATCAGTTAGAAGGATTCCCTCAAAATCTCAAAAAATTTTGGTCATGATCTTTTCAAATGTATCACCTTTGCTTTCTTGGGCCTTGGAGAACCAGGATGATACCATTCGATTGATTCTATTTTTGAAAAAGAACAGTAGTTTCATTCCCAGTAATAACTGATTCAACTCTCCCTCAGTCTTTATAAAGGAGTGAAAACTCTGCAATAACTCACTCACTGTTTCTTTTGAAATGAAGAAAGAAACTTTGGCAAAATCCCATCTTGTACTGACCTCATTTGTACCAAGATGTTTTGGTAGATCCACAACACTTGGTTTTTGATAGAGCACATCTTGCTTTTCATTCCTTGATTTTAGTCACCTATCTTCCCAAAGTTTTCTTCACAATATTGATGTTTTCTTCAGTAACTTCTTCAGTAAGCCTTTCTTGACATGGTTCATCTTCAATGGACTCCCTTTCTAATTTAAATTGTTTTGTCTATTTACAGTGGAATACAGAGAAGTTCTTCATAAGCAGCATCCAGGTGTTAAAGAGCATCTAGAAGCTGTTTATGGGGATACTTTAATCTTGATACACTTTTATCCTCTTTTGTAAAAATTTAAAATTGATCAAGCTGTGAATGAACATTTTCAAATGTATGTTATGTCAATGTAATGATATTTCTATTTGAATCCATTATTGAATCAACTATTTAGCCAATAACAAAATGATACACTACCTCATTGTTTAAAAGGAATCAAGCTGGAAGCTTTTGAATCTTACAAAGTGGTAACAGAAGTGACATAAGATTTTTTATTAAAAACAAACAGAAAATGGCTTCCTTATCAATAAATGAAAAAGATACAGAATAAAATTTCATTATACAGTAATACCTCAAACTTATGCGATAGATGGGACCGAGCAATAACCGCATAAGTCGAATTTGTGTAAGTCGGGGTATAATTTCGCAATTTGTGTAAAATCCAAGTCAGATGTATGTAAGCTAATAAATGTTCTCGTTAATCTTATCTGATCTTTTGATTCGTTCACAGTTACAAGAAATCACCACATAGAGTCTCTCAAGTCTCCGTAGATATAACAAACACAGAAATAAATTGTAGCTATGCATTGATTCCGCGCAACACGTCCGAACATGTAAGCTGAACAATAGTGTGGGGGGAGTGAGTAATCAAGAGTTCATGGTGCTCAAACAAAAGACAAATCGACAAGATTTGAAAATCACGTAACTCCAGGTTTGCGTAAGTCAGGGTAGCATAAGTCGAGGAATTATTGTATAATAATTAAAAAACTGGAAACTTTGAAATTATCCAAACATTTCCCACATAAAAAATTCATAAATTAACATTTAAATGAAAAGAAATAATAAAAATACAATCAAGCTATAGGTTCCTATAGTTCGGATTCCTATATCACGGCGAAAAAATTGCGACAGTATTCATACAAACATGATAAAAAGACTCCTATAATTTGGTAGAACATCATTGCCGACTCGTGTCGCAACAGGATTGCACAGACCGTTGAGTTTAAACAAGCAGCGAACCTACCAAAAAGCATTTATTATTTAACATCCATAAAAATTATATTTATATTAATGATGTCTCTAAAGTTCAGCAAATTTTTCGCAAAAAAAATATTTTATCAGGAAACACGCGAGCGCCATTCGATGGCAATCTCCACGACGGAAACAAGCTTAAGCAATGACGTAGTTAAACGATGCACACTCGGTAAGTAATACTACAATTTTTTGTTTATAGCATAGTTTATATGGATTATTTCCAAAAAATTATACGTATTTTGGAAATGTTAAGTCGAATTAGTCTAGAATCGATTAATTTTATGGAAGAAACCTTTCAAACAGCCATAGTCCATAAACTGCATACGTGCCGGGCTGTGATTGGCTGGACTCGTAAGAAATGGATTCATAAAAACAGGAATGTATTTACCGTATTATAGGGGGGTCGACTGTAATAAATTTTCTTATGCTTTAAAGTATTGTAATTTTATAAAAATACAACTAAAATAACTGACATATTGATAAGGAAGATTAGTTACTATAGAATATAACATTATATTATCATATAATTTTAATTAACTATTTTTATTATTGTAATTACTGTATATTTTTTAATTTGTTATCAAGTATAAAAACAAATATTTTTAATAATAATGTAATTTATATCTTATAATGTAATTTAATTACTAATATTTTACTTGGTATATGTGATCATCAGCTTTCTTTCTATCATTTGACCACCAACTTTCAGAAGGGCTACAACCATAAAGGAAGACATTCTGTTTTCTGGAATGCCCATGATAATCACAATATAACTAAAAAAAATAAACATATTTAAAAAATTCATTTTTATTAATTTAGAGTTTACATTTTAAAAAAATACCATAGGTTTTATATTCATGTTTCGGAGATATTGTAATAGAGCTTTTGTATGATATATAGTAGGATGGATTGTAGAAATTGGAGAGAGCCATTGCCGATTCAAGTCTTGACCACTTAATGAACATCTGTAACTGGTTAATAAATAATGATATATATTTGAAATACATTCATACAAAATAATATAAGTTAAATTATATTCTATGTATTTGAATTATAAATTTTATTTGAAAATATTAATGTTCACAAAAATAAATGGCAAAAGTTAAACTAAAAATATAATTTAAACTAATATACAAGGTCTGTTCAAAAAGTAACGGACCTTTTTTTTTCCGCGTAAACCAATGATGCGCGAGAGGCCTCCTTCGGTGGAGTTGTGGAGGGGACAGTCATGCACAGTCCTGAATTTTTTCCCGCCTGCAGGAAGCGTCAGTCGTTGGCAATCGGCCTATGAGTGAGGTCATGTAGTGCGCTCTCGTCGGATTCCACTAAGCTGGAAAATGACTGAACAACGTGAGCAGCGATATTACATCAAATTTTGCCAAAAACCTTGGCGATACCCAAGTGTAAACCATTCGCAAGATTCAGCAGGCTTTCGGGGACGATCCTCGAGGCCAAAAAAAGCGCGGCAGGTCCGCAGCAATATCAAAGGTCATGTTGACAGTTTTTTCGACTCTCGTGGGGTGGTGTGTCGTGAGTACGCACCACAAGGCCAAACCATCGCAAAGGAGTACTACCAGGAGGTCCTTCGTCGTCTTTCCGATACAGTGCGACGCAAACGACCGGATCTGTGGTCGATCAAAACTTGGCAGCTCCATCGTGATAACGCATCCGCCCATTCTGCGCATCTGATTCGGGCTTTCGTCGCCAAACATAACACTCCTGTGGTTCGTCACGCTCCGTACTCTCCCGACATGGCTCCGTGTGACTTTTGGCTATTTCCCAAGCTGAAAATGCCGCTAAAAGGAACCCGAATTTAGTCGAGAGAAGACATCGTGCAAAATCCGACGGACTGGCTGATGGCCATTCCAAAAGATGCATTCCAGCAGTGTTTCCAGCAATGGCAGGAACGCTGGGAGAAGTGTATACATTACCAAGGAAACTACTTTGAAGGGGATTAGGGTTTTGTACATCAAAATCAATAAATTTATTTTTGCCGACCAAAGGTCTGATACTTTTTGAACACACCTTGTATAAATACAATTTTTACAACTATAAAACTATAACTTTAAAAAATTACATGTTTTCTTTCGAACAGCTTTCATTATATAATTTTGTAAAATGCTTTAAAATAATTTCACAATATATTTCTGATCTTTAAATTCTTACTTCTAACTTCCATTTTTAATCATAAAACTTTATCTCTTCAAAGAATATCTCTGATAATAACTTAAAGATTTATTTCTAATAAAATAATCTTAAATTAGGAATGGTCCCATTTAAAGAACATTTATAAATTTTAAAAATTGGTAAGTGCATAATTACACTGTGTTACAATTGATTGAGAAACCTGCAGAAACATTAACACAATATTGCACAAAATCAACATTCACAATGATTTATGTGCTATAATATTTATTTTATAGACATCTACTATATACATAAATATGTGCATATATTGTATACATATTCACAAAAGCTACACTTATTTTTCTTGATCACATCACTCTCAATCCAATGGTTGACCTTTGACACAGCAATGTACTGTACATGGCTTTTTTCTCCACATTTCCCTTGATTTCTGCTGAGATCTTTAATACATTATGTGTACATACAAATTCTGATATGTAGAATACTAGCATTCTGGATTATTATTGGACAATTCCAGATTATCAGCTGCTTTTTGGAGGGTGCCAGATTACAGGACATTCCATATTATTGGGTGCTGGATTAACAAACTTTCACCTTATACCAGGGCTGTGGAGTCGGAGTCGTGGAGTTTTGGTGTTTTAGTCGGAGTCGGTAGATTTTTACGTGACTCCACAGCCCTGCCTTATACCATTTATTAACCACACTTCTGTGTGATTTTGTGAAGTAGACATCACAATCAAAAATTATCTACCACTTCCCAGAACAATGAAGGAATAAAGTGTTTCCTATGAATTGCCATTAATCTACTCGGATTGAAAGAATTACAAAGTCATCATAATATGCCAAAACATAGTGTGTGGATTTATCTATCAATTCTATCTCTACTCTAGTTAAATCCATTCCAATAAATTTTTCATTTGTTTATTTATTTTCTGAAACCAAACATAAATCTAAATTGCCAGATTATTTTGTGGGCTATGTTTGTTCACAGTTAATTTTATACAAAAATTTAGCTTAATTAAACTACAGGATCTTCATTACATTAGAAATTAATTTTGATTTAAATTAAATTAATCAAATAATTCTGGAAGAAAGAATCAATCTTGAGTGGGATTTGAAACCTCACTCTGGATCAATAATCTAGATAAGAGACTTAAAATTATCTAGCAGTTTTGGCTTAAATTTGGATAATGATTTAGATTTGCTTTCATATGTCCATGAAACTTCAGTAGGACACCATTTATGTGCAGTGTTATAACCACCCAACAAAATTTCTTGTGTTATCATTTGATATATCTACATGCATCATATGTTACATATCATCATCTAGCCATAATGAGTTTTATCCAATTACAGGATCTTCATTACAGTTCTCTGGACAACACTAGTCTAGTATGCTATAAAGATCAAGATTTTGATTCAGAGAGTCAATACTAAAAATAAAGTTTCATTTAAATTAAAAATGTAATTAATATTTTTATAAATAAAATCATTGGATAAAAGCATCTTTCTGTAATATCGCATCTTGTACATTCAATCAAATTAAACTGATACCAATATATAATTTGTAGCTCATAAGTATAGGTATTGAAAGTATTCAAGTTGATTTTAACATGGCTGATTCTGTGATTGCAACAATGGTTGCAACAAAGTTCTGAATAAGTTTGGCCATTTCTTCTGCCACCAGGTGGAGGTACAATAACTCTTGTATTTAAAATCCAGTATTTATGATTTTAAGATTCAATATTTAAATGAATATTGTAGAATGATAGGTGCAATACTGTTGTTGTGAAGCATTTCATCCACATGCTTTGTCACAACAGACTGAAAGTGCATTTAAACCCCATAAAATTTTAGTTATTAAAGTGTACCCATGCAAATGGAATAAATGCATCCCTCTTTGTATTCTACACATAGACTCCTTGAGATTAATTTATATGTGGCAGAAGAATGCAGCATACTAACAGTTGATTATTCTGTCATTATAAAGTTTCCAACAAAAGACATGTCCAACATTACGTTAGAGGCAAGCTGTCATTATTAACTGATAAATACAGAGTAAAATTTATGCAAATTACTTTGTCAAAAAGAGGTCTAAGAGAACATTTGTGTTTTCTGATGGCCAGATGTGAAAGGTTATGCAGACATTCCTTTCCAAGATATTGTCAAATTTCTGGCTAAATGTAACATCTTGGAAAACATGGTTTAATTAATTATTTTTTGTTTCAACTTCAGGTCTTGCTATAATTTGGAATAAGGTGGTTCAAAAGTAGTCCTAGACTCTTTTCACGAGAAAGTTACTCTCAAGCAGTTTCATCTTGTTTTGTAAATCATTTTATACTTCTATTGTAACTAGGGATGTAAATGATTTGGTGCAGGTTTTGGCACACTTGTCTCAGTATTTGATTTTAATTAGATTTTCCCAGCTATTACAGTGGAGTTTGTACTTACTCCCAATAGTGGGGATAAGTGCATCTACCAGTATTATTTTTAAAAAACATATTCTAGCTCAACAAATAACACTCACTTGAGTTCTGTGATATTTCATGACCTGTTGCTATAGAACCAGGTAAGTTATTCCTGCAATTAGTCTTTAAAATCAAGTAATCTTTACTCTATCTCACTAGCTGAAACTTTAAAAAATTTTGAAACTGGCAGTGCACTTATCCCACACAATCTTATTTTATGAATAAAAAATTATTATATCAATAAAAAATTTTATTCAATTATTAGATTAAGATATTAAATATATTTTATAAACTTACCATCCATTAATCACACCATCTGGATTAAGCATTGGCACAATTTTAAATATAAATGTTTCTCTTAATTTTTTTGCAACTTCATTATTACTCAATATAAAATCTATAGTTCCTAAAAAAAAGCATTTTATAATTAAATAATAAAATTTATTTGTATTCATTTTTGTTTAAAAATCTTTACCTTTCATGACCCAAGATGAATTGCTCTCTCCTGGATGTACTCGACTTGTCAAAAAAATATATTGTCTTGAATCTGAAAAGTAATTTATTTGGCATATTAAAATTTATAATTACAAGTTTGTGATATATATATAACAATAAATATTGCTTACTATTATGAGGTAAAGCAGTAATAGTTAATATAGGAACTGGATTTCCTGCCACTGATTCACATAAAGTATCCTTTTTAAAATATATAGAATCTAGATCTGCAGATTTTTCCCAAAAATAAATATGGGTCTAAATAAAATAAAATAGTTTTTTAAATTATTTAGTCTTATATAATTATAGCAAAACTTTTTCATATACAGTATTTCATAATTTGCTTCAAATATTTTATNTGAGGACTGTGTGTTGTGCTGAATCAAACGTTTTTGATACTAGATCTACTTCTAAAGTATATATTTTTTGGTTTTTATATTTTTCAATATATTTATTTTGTTTGTAAAAAATAAAGAAATCATTTTTAACGATACAATAGCCATGATTATAATTTTAAAAAGTTTATGTTAAACTTTACATCGACGAAAATTCAACGCAAAGTGACACGCAACGGAGAAAAATTTCAACACGGGATAGGTTAATATATTTTTTCGTACATAATCATTTATCCGAAAAATAAGTTATCCGAACAACCCCAGTCCCCAATTGATTTGGATAAACAACACTCTACTGTACATTTTTTCTGCATCAATACAGCAAGTTGCATGGTCCAATAAGGATTTGAGACCTCTGCAAGTCACCGTTTGGTATGGCACAAAGGATCTGAGACCTTTGCAAGTCACTGTTTGGTATGTCACAACCTCATGGAGGTCTTTAACATCTTGTAAATAACACGATGACTTTAGTTTGGAAAACAAAATAATTGCAAGATAAATCTGGGAAATAGAGTGGATGATTAAGCACACACTTGTTTTCAGGCCAAGTATTCCTGGACAACTATTGTCCCGTGAACTGAAACATTATCATAGAGAAAGTACCAATTGCCTAGTGATGAGTATTCTGGCTAGACAGAGACAATCCTTTGCTGTTATAAAAATACAATAGTTAGACATCCAGTCTTGTTATCACAATCAAGGGTTTCCTGAGCATATTTGAAATGATCATATCATGTGAATATTTGTGCATGTGATAATATGTATCACCATACATTTGCTGCATCAATATCACTGTCTTGTTTCCAAAGTTTAAAACAGAATTTAATATTTATTCTCTGCTCCATGGCACCTTCATCACTACACTATCCTAACAAAATAGTGGCAAATTTCTTACCATGCTTAGCATGGGACCATATTGTGTTGCCAGTATAGTGCTATGATACTATGTTATGTATTGTTTTTCTATAAGTTCTATGTTATTCTAGCATGTAAGCAGTTTCTGTTAATTTTGTATCAGGATCAACTTTTTGTATATTAATTTGTGTTGTATTCCTTTCACTCCCTGGTACCACCAGTTTTCTTTGTTGAACCAATCTGAACCTGCTGATTGGTTTGGAGTGTGATCACGTGCCAAAACATTGATATTTTGGTTAATTAAAATTCTTATTTAAATATAAATTTATTTTATTAGACTAATAAGTATATTAAATAACAAACCTGTAAAAGTGAGTAAGTATAAGGATAATGATAAGCAAGATAGCAGATATCCTTGGAGTACGGAAAAATAACAGTGAAAGTCAGTGTATAATATGGCTTACTTTTAATAATATCAACCACAGAATTATCACGGGTATAATGATTTCTATAATAACAAATATCCCAACCCGTTCTTGTCCATCCTTTTCTATTAATTAAAAATTCTTTAACAGAAAACATTAATGGATTCATTCCTGAAATAAAATAAAATTATTACAAAAATTTTGATAATATATTTATAAGAAACCTGATAAATTAATTTCCACTAACCATTATTAAAAAGACTATTAGTTTTTTCACAATTAATAATATTAAATGTATATGGCACTTGAGCTTCCATACCAGAAACTTGAAAATAAAACCATTGATGATGATAAGTTGTGTTCAAATCAGGGTTTAGTATCAAATTATATTCTCTTTCTCTCACCTGAAAATTTAACAAAATTACAAAATTTTTATATTGTAAAATGTAATAAATTATAAAGTTGATAATAGATCTCTTTCAGAACCTGAATCACTTTTCTAAGGTTTCCACTCTCAAATAATGATTCAAATAGTAAATGTGTTGTAGTAATAGAGCATCCAATTCTGTAACAAAGTTAAGAATATTTATTATTATTAGATATTAATTAGGATATTATAAATGAATTCATTAAATAATGATTTATTCCAGTATAAAAACAAATAACTACTATTACAAATAAAATGATTAATCTATGACTCTTTAATGTATTTATATATTCATACTATATTTTATGAAGATTTAACTTCTCAGTCTATTACAAAACTTTTAATTGAAAAATGGAAAAACAATGAAATTTTGATGTTAATTGTACCACTCATTCATATATAATATGTATTCATGTAAATCATATTCCATAAGAAAAACAACAGATTTAAAGTTTATTTTCTAGTTTTTTCTTTCTTTAAAGTGTAATGCTGTTATAAAATTCAATTCAAATTTAAATGACTTATAAAGATTTAAATTTTAATTCTTTCAATAATAAATTAATTTTACCTGAATCATTATCATATAGATGCTAATAACATTTCTATGCATTTGGTAACCATAATTTCTACACACTCGGTATGCATGAAGTATGATTTGCAGTGACTCCTTCCAAATGAAGCAGATAATGCTTAAAATGTTTAATTTCATTCATATATCATTTTGTTTTATAATCTCTTTTGTTAAACTTCATAATTAAACTTCTAATTAGGATATAAAATTGTTAACTTTTTTGCAATTTTGAATTTTTCTAGTAACATAATAGAGATTCTTTTTTCCACCAGAACATTTATTTTTTTTTAGTAAAAATCTGTTTCCATTCAAACATATATCAGTAGGTGAGTGAGCTGATAAGACTAATATAGTTTTTATGTACCAAGGTCCAACAATTTAATAAGACAGTTGTCATAAAATATAAAAAGAGAAAAAAAAACAGTTAAATATTGCATATATTTTATTCAAAATACAGTAGAGCGTCGTTTATCTGAAAGCCAGTTATCCGTAACATCGATTAACCGAAAGTATTTCGGTCAGCAAATTTAAATTTTTGCTAGGGCTGTGGCACTGCAATCTTTGGCTATATCTTGGGCTACTCCAATATTTTTTTTTGGTTTTATATTTTTTTTGGTGTGTTTTAGCTGGCAGCCTTGGCAATTTTGTGTGGCGTTTTCCTGAGGACTGTGTGTTGTGCTGAATCAAACGTTTTTGATACTAGATCTACTTCTAAAGTATATATTTTTTGGTTTTTATATTTTTCAATATATTTATTTTGTTTGTAAAAAATAAAGAAATCATTTTTAACGATACAATAGCCATGATTATAATTTTAAAAAGTTTATGTTAAACTTTACATCGACGAAAATTCAACGCAAAGTGACACGCAACGGAGAAAAATTTCAACACGGGATAGGTTAATATATTTTTTCGTACATAATCATTTATCCGAAAAATAAGTTATCCGAACAACCCCAGTCCCCAATTGATTCGGATAAACAACACTCTACTGTACATTTTTTCTGCATCAATACAGCAAGTTGCATGGTCCAATAAGGATTTGAGACCTCTGCAAGTCACCGTTTGGTATGGCACAAAGGATCTGAGACCTTTGCAAGTCACTGTTTGGTATGTCACAACCTCATGGAGGTCTTTAACATCTTGTAAATAACACGATGACTTTAGTTTGGAAAACAAAATAATTGCAAGATAAATCTGGGAAATAGAGTGGATGATTAAGCACACACTTGTTTTCAGGCCAAGTATTCCTGGACAACTATTGTCCCGTGAACTGAAACATTATCATAGAGAAAGTACCAATTGCCTAGTGATGAGTATTCTGGCTAGACAGAGACAATCCTTTGCTGTTATAAAAATACAATAGTTAGACATCCAGTCTTGTTATCACAATCAAGGGTTTCCTGAGCATATTTGAAATGATCATATCATGTGAATATTTGTGCATGTGATAATATGTATCACCATACATTTGCTGCATCAATATCACTGTCTTGTTTCCAAAGTTTAAAACAGAATTTAATATTTATTCTCTGCTCCATGGCACCTTCATCACTACACTATCCTAACAAAATAGTGGCAAATTTCTTACCATGCTTAGCATGGGACCATATTGTGTTGCCAGTATAGTGCTATGATACTATGTTATGTATTGTTTTTCTATAAGTTCTATGTTATTCTAGCATGTAAGCAGTTTCTGTTAATTTTGTATCAGGATCAACTTTTTGTATATTAATTTGTGTTGTATTCCTTTCACTCCCTGGTACCACCAGTTTTCTTTGTTGAACCAATCTGAACCTGCTGATTGGTTTGGAGTGTGATCACGTGCCAAAACGGAACTCCCGGATGTGGGGAAGTATAAATTCAATATCTCCACGTGTTCGGGACCTTTTGTTTTTTTCCTGGCTCCAGAGTTTACAACTGGACACCAGAAGGTCAGTGGAATGCAACGGACCTTAGAAGTAGCAGTAGAACATTAAGCAAATTTTTTCCTTGTTAAGTAATCCAAATACATCTCTAAGAAGACAAGATATATGAATATAGAATATGCTGATCATGCCCAGGAACTTCATAAGGACCTGAGTAAGACTATTATTTTTAGTTATAGACTTTAACTTTCTTAAGACCAGGGTAACGATCTGCCGCACCCCCNGTGATTTTTGTTATATGAATATAACAATAACTTGATTTTTGGTGAATTTTTGAAATAATATAACTTGTTTGACCTATATTGACCTTGGCCCTTCTCAACAATAAACGTAAATACGGGGGCGTGGTAACTGATTCTAAGAAGGTTAATAATAGAAACATGGGTGATTAAGTTTGATCCATGGACTAATGTGCGTCGAATAGGATACTAATATGTGAAAATAACTAAAAAGAAACGTGACAGCATGTTTATGCTTCATCTTGTACATAATTGTAATTATTGATACATGATTTCAACATATTATTCAAACTGGAATTGTTCTCTTTCTATGGAATCATATTAATTATTCACAACAAGGCTTATGTATATACAGTATACCCCCCTATAACGCTTAGATACGTTCCACGCTAATCGAATTTTACGTTGTAGGAATGATTAAATACATGAGCCAATCGCAGCCCGATAGGTGTGAACTTTACGGACTAAGGCTGTTTGAAAGGTTTTCTTCTATAAAATTAACCGATTCTAGACGAATTCCACTCAACATTTCCAAAACACTTATAATTTTTGGGAATAATCTGTATAAACTATGCTTTAAACAAAAAATTATAGGATTACTTACCGAGTGTGCACCATTCGACTACGCTGTTGTTCAAAACTTGTTTTCGTTGCGGAACAGCACACGAAACGGCGGCCGCAATTTCTGATAAATAATTTTTCGCAGAAAAATAACTTGACCTTTGGAGACATCATTAATATAAATAATTTTTATGGCCATTGAATAAGAAGTGTTTCTTTCACAAGAAATGTATAAAATTAGTGCTGTATTAGACTTATGGTACCTAATTTACATACTGTACAGACGATAGCAAAGTCAATTTCTCAATTTAGCCTCTCCGTAGCGTGGCGCAGGGCAGAGGAAAGTAGTTCGGCTGCTCATCCACTATTGGTCCAGATTCTATCAATCTTGTCGCGAAACAAGTCAGCAACGTTGTTTTAGGAGCTCCTTTATATGTATGTTGCTACAATTTTTTCGCTACGTTATAGGAATTGTCATTATAGGAACGCATGTTATAGGGGGGTCGACTGTATAAGCTAAAGAAACTAGCTGTAGTCCAAGCCTGTACATATATATTTTAATAAACCTGGTTTTGTTTTGTCTGAAATTGTAAAATCTTCATCACATTCCCCTTTCACACTTCAGCATATCCTGGTAAGCTTGAGATACTACACCATACTGCAGATTGTGACATACTATAAAATGCATGCATTTCTTGATACATAACATTTGTGTATTGATCAGTACAGAATACGTCTCATCATTTAATTGTTGGACATTGTATTTGATAATATAGCTCAAATATAAACTATGAAAGATTTACTATTAATTAAATTGAAAATTTTTTTAAGATAAGAAATAATGGTAATTAAAAAAAAAGACAGTACTTTGCAAACCATGCCATTTATGTAATTATTTCACTTAGTATTTGTAAGAAATAGTTTAAAATTTTTTAATGATGTATTTGAAATTTGAAAACAAATCTGTTTAATTAATGCTAAATTTTGCAAATATTAACTCATTCTGAACAATTTAGTTTTTAAATAAAATAGGCAAGTAAAAAAAAATACATTGTAATAATTGTTTAAAGTCCACCGAATTATTTTGAAAATGGAAATTTAGACTCCAAAAGAATTTGATCAAAATATATATTTCACTCTTAAAAGAAAACAATTTAATTTTATAATTTTTAATATAAAATTAAATTANTCTTCTATATGAAACATGAAACAAAAAATAAATTATATTATTTCAAAATAATTCAACTTACTTTTCTTCATCATCATTTGAAATAAATAATCCATATTTATTGTCTTCAGATATTTTTATGATATCATCAACCTCATATACAGTTCGTTGAACTACCATATGTTCCAATAATCTGTTTCCAGCGTGATTCAGAACTTTTAACCTAAATTTATAAAAATGAAAATTTTCCATTAATTTATTAATATATAAATATTTCCAATTGGGTGAACAATTAATTAAATATATCTATATTTATTCTTCAGGTTCCAATTTTTTAATTCTCTCTAAATAATTTATATTTTGAAAGAACGGAACAAGCTACATAATTTCAATATATAGAGAGAATCGGATACATATCCGATTCTCTCAATATATTGAAATTATGATATTTACTTATAGATTAGAAAACAGATGGATACAGATAAGCTGGATAAAGAATTTGATATCTACTCCACTTCCTATTTATATTCATTTTATTATTATAAAATATGAATGATAATATAAATTATTATCTTTTATGAGTTATTACTTAGCAATTTAAGCTATTTTGAAAAAATCATTAGTTGGCATGTACAGTACTTAATGAAAACAATTACATTCAAAAGAAAACCTGAAAATAATATATAAAAGAAGCTTAGTGCTTTTATAAGAATTAACCACAAATTTCGTCTAATGACCAATGTCTAGTTTTAAGAAGAATTCTCCTTCTTGAGTTCAAGATTATGAAAATGATGTGATCTAATGAAAACAAGATGTACTAATGGCTAAAGCTATAAGTATAGTAATTGGTAAAACTGAAAGTGCCACTTGGGTATGGAAACTTTCTTATAAATATGTAATATGATGGAAGATTTCAAATTAAATGATATTTTTGCAGATCACTGGATCAGATAATGACTTTGAATTTCATTGGACATGTATTTTGAATTATCAGAACTAAAATAAATGTAAAATCCATAAATAAAATAAATGTAGACTCTTGGCCAGAGTCTAGACTTCAAATTACATGATACTTTGAATTATCTGCTATTGAAATAACAAGGTTTTAAATATTGTATTATAAATATTAAAATTTTATAAAATATTATAAATATTTAAATATTGTTATATTTGAGTTGTTGATGACAAATTTGTTTATCAAAATGCAAGGAGAAACTGCAATTAAAAGTACTAACTGAAACTAATTTCAATTAAATTACCAGTAAATCAGAAAATGTGATGTTCTGATTTATTGATTAAGTGCAGCATAATTGTGTGTGAAAATCAACAGCAAATAGCAATCTTTCACGTACAGCAATGCTAAATAGAAACTGCTTGACATCACAGGTTAAGATTCTCAATCATACAAGTACAATGCACTTTAAGAAAGAGAAAATATGTACAAATATATATTGTATCTGTATATTTTGATAATGATTAAAATTATTTTTATAACAAGTAAAAATAATTTTAATCATTATTAATAATTTAAAATTTGTTAGCCAATGAAATTTTTATTATCCAATTTAAAATGTTTAAAATGTAACTAAAAATATCAATATTTGCCAGTATAGTCATTCACTTTTATAACATTCTTAAAATGGGCTTTTTGGATTAATAAACCAAAATGTTATGTCCTTCAAATCTGACAATCACCTGAGTTCAAGAATTACTAAGATGAGAATTTAATTCTCAGATACTTTATTTAAATGCATTTCAGATTGGAATTCTCACTGATGCCTCTTCAATAATAGTACAATCTGCAACAGAGCCTACACCAATATTTTGGACCCTTCGAAATCAATCAATCACAGTAACCTCTGTCGCAGATTGTACTTCTACTGAAGAGGAATAGAAAGAATTCTGATCTGAAATGCATTTAAATAAAATATCTGAAAATTAAATCATCTTCTGAGTAATTCTTGAACTCAGGTGAATGTCAAATTTTTAATTTGAAAAGTATATCACAATCAATGAATTAATTATAACTTTCATAAAAAAGTAAAGAATTATCAATTCTTATTACAAAAGCATCATAATAGCAAAATTTTATACCTGTATAATCCTGGATGTTTTTGATGCAATGGTTCAATATCATCACAACCTATACCACCAACAAGATCTGGATAAGCCAACTTTACAAAAGGATATACAGAATTTGTCTGTTCAGCCATCTTTTGATATACTTCAGAAATACTCATACTGGAATCAGGCTTGATTTTCTTGTCAGGCATAGGACGTGCATTAGAAGTACTCTGAATCTGTATTGCATACTCTGAGTTTAATGTAGGATATTTCTCATTTGATAAAGATTTATCATTGCATTTTTCCAAAAAATCCATTTGTGGAAATGAAGTTGATGGATTTAACTGTCTGCATAATTCAATACTAGATATATCCATTTCAGACTTACTTGCAAATAATGTTTTAGTTGGAAAAATTTCATTATGAGTACCATTTTTCTGTGCATAACAAACAGAAGAAGGTAAATCAAGAATAAATTTTTTTAAGTGTTCTTCACACGGTGAAACTGCATTTTTTTCCTAGCAAAAAAATAATTCAAATATTTATATAAGTATTTATAAATAATACAATCAAAATATAATCTGTAAAACATTTTTATAAATATAAAAATTCCAACATTAATATAATTATTTTCATTTAAAGTGATTAAAAAAAATTAATTTATCATTAGTAAAAATTTATTTATATAGTTTATTGAATGTACTGTTTTCCAATACTACATTAAGTTTTTCTTAATTAAAGTTAAAACAAAGTATTTAATTTAATATTCCTTTTTTTAAGGTACTACAACTTAAATTAGATGAAATACTAAGCTTATCAAAAAACTACAATATCAAAAGCATTCAATTTTATTTTATTTGAATAACACTAATAAAGATTTTAAAAATTGTTTTACTTTAAATGTTTTCAAAAATTGAAATTTAAAATAAAAATTGTAACAAAGAATAATAATTATAGCTCTCAATTATAAAAACTTTAAAGAACTTAAATAAACTATGTTATACAGTGAAACATTAATTTCTAACTTTGTTTTTATTATAAATTAATAAACCGTAAAAATAATTTATAGTTTATTGGCCTTTGAATTTATGCATACTTATCAAACATCAGTTCATTTTTGTCCTCTAATGCCTGTCACTTGTTTCTAAGAGGGTTGTCCAGAAAATAAAAAACATTTTGCAATAAAAAAATAATAAAGTAATAATTAATTAATTGATTACTCACTACAAAATTTTATTTATTTTTCTACATAGTCATCACAAAATTTAAGCATTTGTCCTAGCACAACACTGGATTTTGGATTCCTTCATCATAGACACCTGCCTCCAGTAGGTGTCTATGATGAAGCCAGAAAATAAAGAACATTTAGGCCTCCTATTCATTACTTTATGCCCACAGTAGTCAAATTGTGGCTCATGAGCTGCATGCAGTTCTTCTAAACCTTACTGTGGATCCCATAAACTTATGCGATTTTTTTTAAATGAACTTGGTCCATACTACTTATATATTTTGTAAGTTTTCTGACTATTACATAGTGTAATATAAACAGAAATTGTAAATGAAACTCACAACTTAACCTCAAATACGCAACTGGAAGCTTAGGGCATATTCATAAAGTCAAAGGAGTTAAATGATTACAGTAGAGCGTCGATTATCCAAATCAATTGGGGACTGAGGTTGTTCGGAAAATTGATATTTTGGATAACCGATTATGTACGAAAAAATATATTAACCTATCCCATGTTGAAATTTTTCTCCGTTGTGTGTCGCTTTGCGTTGAATTTTCGTCGATGTTAAGCCTAACAAGACTATTGTATCATTAAAAATTATTTTTTAAATTTGTACAAACAAAATAAATATATTGAAAAATATAAAAACAATAAAAAATTATACTTCAGAAATTAATTTAGTATCAAAAACGTAAAATATTTGAGTAGCCCAAGACATAGCCAAAGATTGCAGTGCCACAGCACTGGCGAAAATTTAAATTTGTCGACTGGAATTGTTTCGGATAATTGACTTTCGGATAATCGACGCTCTACTGTATTTTCCTGGTACTTTATTAGGTAAACAAAGTAAAGTAACTGTGATAACTATATAATATAAACAGAGGATGCAGCTCTCCAACAGGCATTTCAATAGAGGATGTCACTCTGATGTATTCCTGACAGGCAGTGTATGGCTCCTATTGTGAGAAGGTTTGACCAATCCTGCTTTATACCAAAGATGACAACAAGTTTAAAATATACTGTAAAACACTGAAACCGTTCTGACATGCAATCCAAAGCAAATAGCATAACATAATCATCAAGTGGTGGGTGCACAATAATGTATCCTCATATTCTGCTAACAACTTAAGTTCTACTTCAAAAATTTCTACTAGAAAGTTTTTGAGCATCTAATATACAATGTTGAGTCAGCCCCCCCCAGTGACTCACTTGTTTCCTAAAATGAAAAGGTTTATTGGATACTTTAATAGTGATAGGTTGAAAGAAGCTGCACTAAATGCCTAAATGAACCAGTAACAGATGTCTACAGGAATCCAAAAATCAGTGTCACAATATGATAAATGCTTAAATCTTGGTGGTAACTATATGCAAAAATAAATACAGAGTTCCTACTCAAATTTTCAATTTAAATTCCATGACTTTCACTGACCAACTCTGTAGAAATTCCCTGACCCTCACATCCCTTACAGTACAGCATATTGACAAAATAAAATAGCATATGACTTACTATGCAAATATGCTATTGCTTCTTCAACATTTTAATGAGTTATTTTTTCTAATTAAGAGTTATATAACTTTTATAATTGCTGAATAATTAAAATTAAAAATAAAATATTTTATTAAATTAAAATAGTTTATCCTGTTATTAATCCACAATCATAAATCTATGTGACTTTGAAAAAAATAAAAAGCTATTATTTTTGATTCATTAACAAATCCTGTATAATCCATGTAAAAAAGTAAATATTTATTAAATTCATCTCTTAATAAATTTCCTGAACTTTATAAAATATTAATGAACTGTGGAAAAGAATCAGAAATTGTTTTGTTACATAATCAAAATTATTAAAATAAAAAAATAATAAATAATACCATTTAAATTGAAATTATTTATCATCTTTTGTACTTCATTTTTTTTTTTTGCAATTCATTAACATCTGCCCCCAAACAGAGTGTAAATAGTAAGTGTGAGAGATTCCAAGTGTGTTAAAATATTTAAAAAAAATTTTAATCAATGTTAGATTATTAAGAGTATTACAGACTTTTCTCTAAAATTCATAATACTGCATAATTAATACAGCTGTGTTAAAATTTACAAATGACAATTGATATTGCTGTATATTATATTTGGGATTTAGTTTGATCCTCTGGCTCTTCTTTATTGTCTTACTAAGCTCAGTGTATTCAATACTTTTTATTTCTTAAACTTATTCTTGTTTCACGTTTTTAAAATAAGATTTAGTGTTTCTGATTGGACTTTTCCTGTATCACTCTTTATTGTCCTTCCAATCTTTATAATTCTGTTTTTTTCAGCTATCCATTATACACAATGATATCAGAATTTCTTTCTAAAAATTTTTTCAAATTGTTATTTGGAATTTCATACATTTTTCTCCATTTTCTTCTATGGTTTCACATATCAAATACTTTTCTCAATTTCAATCAATATTTAAAATCAGTTTTTAATTGCTAAATTTTCTTCTATTTTTTTGTGTACAAACTAAGGAATTTATGCTATTTACTAGTTTTTATTTTGTTAATTACACATTGCTGTTATATACAGTATTTTATCTACTAGAATATAACCTATTTCAGTAGTAACCTAACTTTAAAATGGCTGAGTGCCAAAAACTAAGTATAAGTATAATTTTGTTTTCTAAATAATATAAAGCTCTTACTTGTCAGTTTATATTATAATAAACATTTACTGGAAAATTTATTGAGAAAGTCAGGTAAAACAAATTTTCCTGTAACTTTTTTACTAGTTCATAAACTGACAGTGTCTTATATTAGATAGAAAATACTACATTTACTTGCATATAAGATGAGGTTTTTATTAATTTTTCACAGCTTCAAAAACCTAGGTCTTCTTATATGCACAAGCAAAAGGATTCTTTACATTTTTTGCAATAATTTTTGTGAACAGTGTATTTGCATTTTTTACCAGATGCTCATTCTCTGGTTTTTAAAAACAAAAGTATTTTATCTAGGTTGTTTGAATCATTCTTGTGTATTGTTAGGAGTAAAGATGAATAGCAATAGGAAAAGCAAAGCTTTTAAATTGAATTTCAGATTGAAATTCCAAAGTCACACAGGAATCCAATATAAGTTTTAATCCATTCCCATGTGAAAACAGATGATTATTCGAAAATCAGAAATCAAAAAAACTCATAAGTGTAATCAATGGAGAGTGGATTCAACTGTTAAGAATTGGCAAAAAAGTTTCCCGATTGTCCAGCTTTACACGAACAAATTATGTTGTTGATTTTACAAGATTTTTCCTTAAAGTTTATGATGCTAGTAATTTTTGCAGGACAATTTGTGTATTTACAGGCATTTGATATTTTATTTGTGATTAAACAAAATAAAATTAGAATTATATTAATAAATCTAATTATCTTTACTTTGATCTTTAAAATCACACCTTATCCTATATGAGAGATTGTCTTATATGCGAGTAAATACAGTAAATCATGTCTCATAAAACCTAATTCCTGAAGAGATCTTTGATAATTAAAAATGCTATTTTAAATTATAGAACTGTAGAGGTGCAGAATATGTCAGATCACAAGGCTCAGGGAACATTAAAGAGTCCCAGAAAAATTTGCAGTATAAAAAAATAATAATATGATAACAGACACGAAAGATAAAGTAGCATCTTGATTGTGCATAGACATTAATTGGCAAAATTTGCCAAAATGTGAAATCTTGTGTTTTAAAAGTAAAATTGGAATGTTATTTACTTTGTTTCTAATCAGTAACTCATTACATCACTGCCTACTTATACAGTTATGTGCTTGCAATAAGAACAAGTTATTCACAATTATGGAATCAGTTTTGATTTTTGCAAAAAACCAAAACTGAAGCAGAGCTTTAAAGAACCAAAAAAAAAAATCCCTTTTTATTTGAAAAGTCTTTTGGACACTAATGGGTAAGATTTTGTGTTAGCTTGAATTAAAATGAAATATTCACGCATTCCCCAGATGGAAAATTGCAAATTAATAAATGGCATTTAAAATCTTTTTCTGAATTGTTTCAATTAAATAGCAAAATATACATTTTAACATCATTTTACAAACATTATTTTTCTTTTATTTTTCATATTTTTATTATAAAATAAAAAATATTAATGTTAAATATACAGTGGAACCTCGATATATGACCTTAATCTGTTCCTGATGTTTGGACTTATACCAAATAGGACGTATAACAAACCATCCTTTCTCATAAGAAGTAATGTAAAAATAATTAATCTGTTCTCATGTAAAAAAAATGGCTGGCTTTAAACACCTCACTTTCCTGGGTAGTTCCTGCTTGATATTTTTTATGAGATCAGCATGTATCTTTTTAGCTTTATAATTGCTTCTGTTGCTACTAGGTTTGCCTTATGTTTCGCACATTTTAAGTGATTTTTAATGTCAGTTCTGATACGCTGTTGCCAGCACACTGTTTTTCAGTTATCCAAAGCAAAAGCAATTTCTCAACATAATCTAATGTCTTCGATCTCTGTTTAGAAATTGATTTAACCCCTTTCGCAACGTTAGCAGATTTAATAATGTCTTTATTTTTTACGACTGGCGATATCATCATTCTCAGAATACAGTACGCAACAGTTAAATCTCGAACATGCATGCCACCTTTATATTTCTCAATAATCTCTTTTTTCAGTTCCATTGTGATTCTAGTCATTTTTTAATTTTCTGTTGCTTTTCATTTGCCTTTTTGCAATTCATGATTAATAAAAATAATAAAATTTTACTTACAAATTAAAATCAGAAGAAATTTAACAAAGTTATAAACCATGGCACCGCAGATGTCTAGTCTGGCCTAGTACACCGACAGTGCTAATTGTTCATAGATGGCGCGTATAATTGAATTAAGTCATATACCGAGCAAAATTTGTTTCGTCCAAACAGGACGTATTCTAAAGCAGACATATACCAAGGTACCACTGTATTTTAAAACTTCTTAAGAATATGGTCACATAAAATAATAATAGTAATAATAATAAAGTAAAAAATTCTAAAGTAGTTAATCTTTTTTCAAAAAATTGGTGCATTTCTTAAATAATTTTTCAGAAAAAACTGTACAACTGTCATCATTGTAAAGAATTTTGTGTTTTTGGATGTCAAAATGATCATTTATTAGTTTCCCCATGCTAATAAAAATGAAATAATGTCTCAAGCGATGCTAATGACAACTTCAATTTTATTTCTGTTAATCAATGTATTAGATCAAGTTTATAATTGTATAAGCTATCCTATGATGAAAGGCACAAGGTTATATAAATCCAAAATTTCTCATCTTTTTCAATATGGGAAAGTCTGAATTTAGTCTGATGTACAGGTAACACCAGAAAATGTTGTATAAGAAAAAGTGATGTAACATATTAAATCTGTATTTGGTCATTTCAACATATTGTACATAGAGATATAGTTGAGATGCTACCTTTTAAATGGGCATCAGTGAGTTAAAAAGACAACTGAAAAAGAGTTATTTTGTAAAATATCCAAAATGCATTTTACTTGAATTCTGTATCTCAAGGGTGTCCATAAGAAGGTTAAATAAAAAAAAAGTTTGTGAAAGTCTAGCATCTGTTTAGTAAAATTGCAATGCAGTTATTGAACAATTTAAAATAAATTAATTAAATGGCATGGTTCCTACAAAAAGAGTATTTTTTTAATTATTATTCTGTTTAGATACAGTCAGAACATTTTAAAAATTATTTAACAAATTCACCATATCTGACAATTCTTTTGGAGTAGAACAAAATGATTTTAATCAATGTTTAAGAAAGGATACAAAAATAATCCAAATAACAGCAGATTATTAGCTATATCATTAAAAGAAGATAGTTTGTTATATTCTAAAAGATAGTCAAATCAAATTGAAAAAGAAGTGAAAATTTCTAAATGCCAGTTTTCTAACTAGCCAAGGATGTAATTAAAACAAAAGAAAAATACTAATGGAAAATTTAATGAATATTTAATTCATTATTGAAATACTTAAATCAATTTAATTGTATATAATTCATTTCACTTACAACTAAAGTTGTTGTAGATTCTAATTCTGGAAAAAACTTTTTATAAAATTCCATGTCTTCTGTTTCAAATGTTTTAGAACTATTTTCACTTGGAAAGGAATCTTCACTCTGAAGAAGAAAGGAAGATAATATATGTATATATGTTATAAAAATGAAATATAATCAATATTGGCATATTTTAAATAACTTCTATTTTAATATACAAGCTATTTATAATAAAGTCCTTGAACAATTTTAAACTATAACAACTTTGTATGTATACATGTTAAAAATATATTGAAAATGACATATAAAAGCTTAATTTCTAAGGTTTGTTCTATGAATTAGTGTTGTTAATTATGTAATTTTATTTTCAGATCTTTTAATCAATTTAAAATGGTGACAGAAGAAAAAAAAATACTAACTCACAAAATTGAAGTTACATTTATAAAGAAAGTTAAAAATATCAATAACTACGAACACTTACTCAGATTTTTTAAAAATGACATATAAGTTATATAGAAATGATCACTATATGATCAATATTGGAATATTAAATGATGAAGTGTTAATCTTTAAAATTTTCTTTAATTTTAAAAAATTTTACAAAGAGTAAATAATTTAAAATATCAAAAAATTTAAAAACTTCTTACATCATCTGAATCTGAATCTGGATCTGAATTACAAGGAGATATATCAAACGTCATCCCACTGTATACTTCTTTATCTAAAACATTTCAATATTTAAACCCATAATACTATAAAATGAATATTTATGAAAAATATAAAAACATTTAATTATTAGATTTACAATAATCAAATATATGTCTATAAAAAACTTAAAATTATTATTTTGAATAAACATAATTATTAAAAAAAATTTTTGAGGAATGACTTTTTGTTAGATATGTGAGATCAGCCGGGGGTACTCTAATCCGGGGAGGATTTGTTTGTACCACTTATTCGACACCCAGTTGGTAAAACTAGTTCTCCAGGTTTCAGATCGAGAGATCCGATCCTAAAAGTTCTTATAGGAGGGCTTTTAATAATGATCCAAATCGCGAGATTCGGATCTACGTCAGGATTCCTTGACACCAGTTAATCAAACTTATTATACGCGGATTAACACGCGTTTGCGATCTGATTCGGAATAAATTGAGGAGACATTCTTATAAAATAAAACAAGAGTAAATTTAATAAATCTCAAACAAACGAATACAAAAATTTCGATTACAACCATTTAGCGACAAACTAGAGGCTACGACTTAATCTATGCTAATGCGCGTTCGAGAGAGAGAGCTCACAAAATGATTCTAAACATACGACCTGTTAGTTGTCGTCGTCTTCGTTTCTGTAGGTAGAGGACACCTTGTAGATAGGGCTCATATTACTTTCATGCGGGAGATCAATTCGTGCACAAAATATAAAAATATCACTTCTTCTAAGTGTAGACTTGGACTTCGTCTATCGGACTCCGTTATGGGCGTTGGCCATCAGGAGGAAACTGCGTGGAGTTTGTATGCTTCGGATCTGTCGAAGAACTCTCCGAATTCTGACTAATCTCTCCTTTTATTTCAAAATTTTCGTCCAATCATCGTCCAGTAACTCTTTCGTGAGAACGGATGAAAGGGGGATGAATGAGGGGTAACCATTTCCCATCTGAGCGAGATTTTTAACCAGATACGGAAAAAACAGCGGATGTTCTCTTCGATGAAAGGAAATAACATTTGTTATATGGTTTTTCCCACGTCTAAAACAATATTGTTTTCACAAAAACGAAGTAATATTTTGTCGATATTTTAAACATATTAATAAAATTATTAACTTAGACCCAGGGCCTTTCGGATCTCACAGATATTTTGATTTTCAACTTGGTCAGCATTAAAAAAATTTGATTCCCTATTCCCATGCATTCTTTCTTGAGAGTCCAATTTATAACATTATCTGTAGCTTTCTTTGATATCTTAGAGAAACTTTTAAAATTTCATGAAATGAGCTTTCTTTCTTTTTTTTCTTTTTTTTTTTTGAAATGTTATCTAAATTATTCAGTCAGTTCTTTATTTTATTTAAAAGTTCTTTTATACCAAATGCTTAAACTAATTACAGTTTTTCCCAGTATCTGTGGGATTGGTTCCATGACTCCATATTCATAAAGAAAACTGTAGATGCTCAATTCCTTACATAAAATGGTGTAATATTTGCATATAACCTACACATATCCTCTTGTATATCTTAAATCATCTCTAGATTACTTGTAATATCTAATGAAATGTAAATAGTTGTTATAAAACTACTGTATAGTTTAGGAAATAATGATAGGAAAAAAGTCCACACATACAGTATCGACACAACCATTAGGTCTGAGTAGCATCATCAGCAACATTTTTTTCTTTCAACACTTAGAGATTGCTTCCATTTAATGACCTATACCACATATTTAAAAAAATGGAAAATATTAAAATACAACCAAATTCAAATTTGACTTTTTGGAATTTTAAAAATATTCTCAATTCACAGAAGAATGAATCTGCTGATGCAAAATCTGCAGATACAGAAGGGCAACTGTATATTCAATTTGTTTGCATCAGATAAATTTTGATATATTATAATATATTATACCCAACCTATCACCATTTTCCAGAAACCAATTCCAATATAAATTTTCAGTACCATTTTGTTTTCTCAAATAAGAACAATAATATTTCAATCTAAAAAATTTCTCTTTGCATTGTTGTAGTGAAAAATAAAATTTCAGTTATCCTTATCTTTTTTAACTAAGTACATTTATGTCTCTTAACATTAGTATATATATTGGTGTTTTGCCTATTTTATTTTATGCTCTCTGTTTTCTAATTTCAATTTTATTTTTCTATTTCCTTTTTGCTTTTATAAACAAAAGGTTTGCTTTTTATTAGTTTGCACATTACCATAGAAAAATATTTTATCTAAAAACTCCTGGTGTTATATTTAAAAGTTTCATTTACAACATCAATTGTTGTGTTTTTAATCTCAATAATTGGGATAACTTATCTATTTTATATTATACTTATACATAAAATATAAATCAATTAGTATAAAATAATAGATAAAACAGTATTTTATGTTAATAACATGAGGGTTTATACTTAAGATTCATTTATCCCATTTGGATACTTAAGCATTCATAACATGTATTCAAAAACGATAAATATTCATGTAAGTATACTTATCATATACATGCTTATATATATTTATCCATTAAATTAGATACAGTGTAACGTTTATACAATTCAAATTTTAAAAGACTTATATGTTAATGTTTTTTTGTCATTTGCATAACAAAACATTTTTTTATTACAAACATAATTTTATATCAAATCAATCATTTCAATTATTGCATTTGAAATAATTCTTGACAAAATGATTGAAGTTATACAAATATCACAAATCAATACGTTAACTGAAAAACAAGTTAATAGAAATCAATAATTTTATTATCCATTACACAAAATGATAACATTGTTATACACACAATTCTTGGTTTACAAGTTCTCCATTTAAATTTTCTTGGAGATACAATCTGTGAAAAATATCTCACCATTCATATAGTCAATCTGGACAAAGAAAACAATTATCTGAGAGGTAAATAGCAAAATCTATTCAAAGAAAAATTTCTCTCTAACTCTGCTGATATAGTACTTATTTTCTAAGTATTTTCTATGACTGAGATACATATGCATTCTCTCTCCTTCTATAATGTATACATTTCATCTATATTTTCCTATCTTTTCACCTGGCTCTTTTATATGTCCTTTCTGTCTTTCATTTTCGCTTATTTCAATATAGGGAATATAATTACTATCAATAATAATCTCTAAACCAGTTTACAAAGTTTACAAATTTTTATATGCAACATTGAATAATTTTATATTCAGATGTGATATAACACATGTTATAATTCACAAAACAGAATCATTTGTCTTTATTACTACAGTAGACCCCCCCTATAATGCGGATTCGTATATCGCGGCAAAAAAATTGCAACCATATTCATATAAAGACACTAAAAGAGACTTGTAAAATGCGGTAAAACGTCATCGCCGACTCGTGTCGCGACAGGATTGGTCGAATCTGGACCAATAGTGGACGAGCAGCTGAACTACTTACATGCTACAGAGAGTTTAGGTGGGTAAGTTGAGTTTACTATCGTCTGTACAGTATATAGGCCTAAATTAGGTACTGTAAGTCTAATACAGTACTGTAATTTTATACATTTCTTGTGAAAAAACATTTCTTATTCAACGGTCATAAAAATTATTTCTATTAATGATGTCTCCAAAGTTCAATGAATTTTTCACAGAAAAATAACTTATTGGTGTGCTGCTCCGTGATGAAAACAAGCTTAAGCAATGGCGTCATCGAACGGTGCACACTCGGTAAGTAATCCTACAATTTTTTGTTTATAGCATAGTTTATATGGATTATTCCCAAAAAATTATACGTGTTTTGGAAATGTTGAGTGAAATTAGTCTAGAATCGATTAATTTTATGGAAGAAAATCTTTCAAACAGCCATAGTCCCTAAACTGCACATGTGTCGGGCTGTGATTGGCTCATGTATTTAAGTGACTCGTACAACACGGAAATCACATAACACGGAACGTATCTACCACGTTATAGGGGGATCGACTATATATGTTATATAATGCATGCTAAACATGCATTAAACATGCTAAAAAACATGTAAAAATGTTTCAATATATTTTTTATAATAATTTTTCAGTACCTAGATGAGTAAAGAAATTTTCTGTAATGTGCTGCTCCGCGATGAAAACAAGCTTAAGCATTGAAACATATATTTCTCTATTTATTGTGTATTTTTAATTTATGTAGTCATTTCCAGGGTCCATAGGAAATGAATAATTTAACTTTTAATAATTTATACAATTATAATTAATTAAAATTTGTACAAATATAGTTAAAATAAAAATAATATTCAAAAGTTAATAATATTTATAATTTTTAAAACTAACTACCTGGACAAATTGAACTCTCACATTCAACATATTCATTATCTTCTGGAATTGAAAAGTATACAGGACTTAAAAATGAAGCAACAGGTAAAACTAAAGGTGGAAGGCATCTTTGGATAATTAAGCTTGCTAGTGTTGCAAGTTTATCCCAGTTTTCTCCTACAACTGGCAATGTTTGACACCACTGTAGTAGACAAGGTGCAACCTGTACTTCAATTAATGCTTCTCTTCCATTCTCTTATTAAAAATAAATAAAATATTAAGAACATCAATTAATTGAGTTGTTATTATTTAACATTTACTTACTAGTATAAGAAAGACGAACAAGAACCTGAAGAACACACCGGAAAACTTTCACTAACTTAGGACCTTTTAATTTTAATCGAGACCAAATAGATGGTTCAAGCATTTGTACTAAATGTCCTAAACCATTTAGCTGAATTATCTGAAGAACAATTAACTCTGTAAAATTATGAAATTATTTGAAAATTTCTTGAATAATACTTTTATATAAATCAAATATGTTAATTCTAAAATCTAATATATAAAATATTGTCACAAAAAAATATATATCAAATTAAAATTATGAACAAAATTCCAAAATATTTAAAAAGTTAGTAGTATTAAAATATTTCATTGATTATCAGCAGCCATTGAATAAATAAGACTAACAAATCATATTAAATTCTAATTTTAATTCTACATAATGTTATGACAATAATACAGAACCAGATTAAGATACTTAAAACCTGGAACAAATTTAATTATGCAGTAAAAAAGTAATTTTAAATAAAATGTTCCAAATTCAATAATTTTAGCACTTTATATTTTACCATGATTTAGAATTTGAAAATAGTTTTCCAATTTAAATAATAATAGTAATGAAACATCAAACCATGATGTAACATTTCCTACAAGTATTGTCTGTAAATAGTTTGCCTTTTAAAATTTGTTTTCTGTAGTTTTGTATTTATGACCAAGTGTTAATAGGGCATTATTCTCATTATTATTAAAATGAATAAAAATAATATTTAAAAATATGAATTAAAATAAATATAAAAAGTTATATGATTTCTTTTAAAATATAAAAAAAATATTACAATTAACATATGCCATTTAAAAATACTTATGAAATATATAAAATTATGAATAATGTCAAGACAGATTTATTAATTTTGATCTGGAATCATTACATTATATTATAATAGCTTTAATAAAATTAAAACTTTGCTATTTAACTACTTTCAACTATAAAAACTTACTAGAGCGAGTTGCTGCAGCCATAATATCTAATGCACTTGATAAAATCAAAGAATTCTTCTGTTTATAATCAATTAATGATAATAAAATTGAAACTAAACCTTCTTTTCCCAAAACTGTTGCATTCATATCTGTAAAAAAGTAGAAATAATAGAGTTAAGTTTAAAATTAAAACTGACTATTGGCATAGAAAACTGATTTATAGATTATTAACTGAGGCAAGATGTTAACTACAAATATTCATACAAATTTTTTAAAACTTTAAAAAAATTTTTTTAAATATCATCTACTTTTATTTCCAATTTTGTTTGATTTTGGCCTATAAATTATTCTTGTACTGACTTACAAAAAAACAATAAATAAGAATAGTTTGACAAGATATTTAAAAATTAATAATAAACTAGTTATGTTGTACTATTCAGCTTCTTATAATGATTTACTTGTATTGGAATATTTGTATTTGTATAATTTTTATAATTCATTATAATTTTTGTATAACAAAACTAATGAATGAATGAGAATAAATCATCTATTAAGGGTAGTATTTACGGTCAGCACTTTTAGACGTATTATAATTAATAATTTTTTTCAAGTAAGATTATTGGTATTATTTGTCATGTCTAAAAGGAAGGCCTATTCACCAGTCAGTCAGTCGAATAGTAGATCTAAGATTTATTACTCTGACCCATTGGAGGAGACAAGGATTTTGGAGTTACTTCAGGGAGAACTTGATATTAAGGATGGGATATCATTATTAATTCAACTAAATTTAAAGCAAAATACTAAATTGGTAGGAATGATTGTAAAATCAATAGAATTTTCACCTGGGAAGAAAATTTGGACAAAGCTATTGTTAATTTAGAAACTAGACTTGAGGATTTAAAGAAAAAATTTGCATACAATACAGGCAAGGTTCTATTGGAGAATAAATTGGCTGAGTTTACATTAAGTCAGGAGTGATTTGCGTGTTTCTGGATTACCTGAGTCGGAAAATGGTAACTTGCAGCTTAGAGATGTAGTATTAGAGTTTTTCGAAATAAATTAAGTGTTAATCACGTTAGTTTAGAGCAGTGCTATAGATTAGGTCAACAACAGAATGATAGAACTAGGTTGATTTATTGTAGTTTTTTGGATTATGGTGATAAATGTAAAACTAAAAAAGCAGCATTTAAATTAAAGGAAACTAGGATATTTATATTGGATGACCTTCCTCCTCTAACTAGAGGAAAATAATTAATAACTTTGCTAGAGAAAAAAAGAGGATGGGAGCTTCAATTACTTATTTAAATAATACAAATGCAGTAAAAGTTGATAACAAAATTTATAAATATATTATTATTTCTAAGAAAATGGAAGAGCAAATTTCAACTTGACTGGGAGTAGGTACGTCAGTACTTTCATGGAATTGTGAAGGTATTATTGTAAATAAATCTACCGTACTTTCTGGCATATAAGATGACTCCCGACTTTTACAGTTAAAATATAGAGTTTGGGATATACTCGCCATATATGTCGACACCCGGAGTATAAGACGACCCCTGACTTTTGAGATGATTTTCCTGGGTTAAAAAGTCGTCTTATACACCGGAAAATACAGTAATTCTTTTTGGAATTTTTTGCATACTTTTGATATAATTTTCTTAATGGAGACGTGGTGGGATGATAGGACTGCTATTCCTGAATTTCATAACATGGATAACTTTTCTGTTTTCCAGGAAGCAGGTTATTGAGAGACTGACAGAAGTCATTTTATTGGTGGCTGGATGTTATTGATAGCCAATTCTTTGAAAGTGAATATTTTGGAAAAAGACAGGCATTGGATTATTGTGGAATTAACAATAGGGCATTTAGTAATTTCTTTTTGTTTTATGTATATAAGTCCTGCTCTATGGAATACTATTTGGACAGAGGTAATTAGGTTGGTTTGCTGTTATAAGATAGATTTTTTAATTGGTGATTTTAACACTCGCATTGGTGTTAAGCTACAAGAATGGATTTATGATTGTAATGAGGATCTTGATCAGGATTGGATGTCGAGGCTATCACAAGATACAGTGATAAATAATCGTGAAAGATATGAAAGATTGGTGTTGGAATTTTATGAAGATGCGGAATATATAATTTTAAATGGTAGAGGATCATCCGTGTTTAAAGGTTATTACATTTATGTGGGTGAAATAGGATGTTCTGTAATTGATTTAGCCTTGGTTAAGTTAACTCAGTTATCTTGTGGTTGTTCGTAACGAGATTTGTAAGTCCACGAATAAATGTTACAAATAGGAACACAGGAACAAAAACGTGTATGACTGAATATTCCTTTAATGCTCTCCGAACATGGTTCTTTTTTCTTGTTTTGTTACAAAGATCCCAACTTAATGGGTTTCTTTACCCTATTAACCTCACAGGGAAATAGGTCACCTCCTATTCTCGTACAAGTATATAATATATGCACATGTAACACAAAACCTTGGTAACAGACTTAAGAACTAATCTTATGTCTAACTTAAAACTAATATAACAGGGAAACGATTAGACTTAGGAAAGTGTAGAAAGTATAAAGAGATAGATAGAGAGTACTTGGGTCCATGTTGATTGATCAATATCTTCGCGAGGTGCCCTTTCACAAACATGATCTTTTATTCTTCTTTACTGATTCAGCAATTCGTTCTCGAGGTTCTCCGATTCTTTTGGTTTTCCTTAGTCCCTCGTGCTTCTTCTTCTCTAACCTCGACAGTCCTCTCTTATATCTGCCGTCTTCTTCCCACTTCTCTCTTTTCGAGCTTCACTCACTACTCTGTACATCTGTTCCTTTTGAGGTCCAGCCAAAAAGTGTTCTCCTCTCTCTTTTCTTCTTGTCTCAGGCTATATTTTCTTTCGTTTATTTCCCCAAATTTGGAGAAGCACTAATACCTTACTCCTTTGTTTCACCCTTGGTTCTGAGAAGGGGTAAGCCTCCCCCCTCAAGTAGTAATGGTCGACATTGAAAATTCTCGAAGACAATAGAAAGAAAGTAGAATAGAAATAAAATTAAGAATTGTGAACTATATACAAATTACAATATGGCTGACAGCCACAATCTATTGTAACAAGTTTTTCTGTATTAGATAAAGTACATAGTAATCATTTTCCAATTAGCGTGGTTTTAGATTGAAAATCTAAAAAGAAAATTAGAGAATCATTTAAAAGGTCCATGGGTAATAGAGAGAGAATTATTTTGGAGGGAAGAAAATAGTGAGATGGTAAATCATAAATATAGTGAACTATTGTATACAATTCAGTCAGTCAGTATTAATGTTTAAGTTCTTGGATTAAATTGGATTGATTTAATTAAATCCTCATTTTCAGACTGGTGCCAAAGGCTGGTTGGAACTTCCAATTTTTCGTGGTTTGATACAGATTGTAGGTTGAGTATTTGAATTCTTTTGCACTCATGTTAATTTTGATGCTTTTCATGTAGTAACTGAATTTAAGGCTCTGACATCGGTCAGACAGTGTTTTGGTGAAGATTATTTATCGGTTCAATCATATAAGCAATTGTTACAAGATTATAATAAATATCATTGTATTTATAGTTTTATTATTAAGATAAATGGCTAAAGGAATCTAATTTGTTTAGTCTAAGATATTATTTTTTTCAGAAGTTTAACCACCTGGAGGTGTGAATATAGTATATTAGTGGATGATTTAGTGCTTGACAGTTGGCAGCATTTATGGTCAGCACTTTTGGTGTATTATAATTACTAATTTAATTTTTTTCCTATATTATTTTATAGAATTTTTGTTTGCATTGACTATTCACTGCCATTTTTGCGTGTATTTTTATTTCTTTTGTGGATATAATTATTATTGTTGTCAGTTTTGTTTATTATTGTATTACTCCTTTTTTTCTTTTAACAGGCTAATTATTATGCGCTGTACTGTTAATAATAATGTACTTTGTACTAGAATTGATACTGATGATTGTAATGTTTTTTTCTGTTGTAATAAGCCTGTACATACAGGGTTTCCATTGTACCATTAAATAAAATAAAAAATCATCTATTAATCTTAATTTTATTATTATAAAGATAATGACAAAATAATATGCAGTAAAAGTTATGAACAAATATTTGATTTTATATTTAAAAAATTAGTTGCACAGATAAATAAAAAAATTTGTAATTTTAATGATACTGTTCCTGTTTGCTCAATATTATAGGATATATACCATGTTTGTTCAAACATTTTTGGTAAATAAATCTTATTTTGATTATTAGAACAATAAAAACATATTTGAATATATTCAGAATTTTTAGAAATTTATATTAAGAAATTTTTTATTGTTTTCTTATACAATTTATTTTTAATTTACACTTTTTACTCATAATGAATATATTCATTATATAATCTGTATGAAACAATATAGTCTAGATATTTTCCCTGTAAAAATTTGTAAAAATGCCTTCAAAATTAATAAATAATTGTAAGAAAATTAATTTTTCACAAAAAGTAAAATAAAATAGTTTGAAACAATATCTCTTAATACTATTTGAAATTATTCTTTACTGTAGAACAATTAAGATATTCTTATAAACTTTAAATTTTTAAAACCAGAAAATTGAAAAATTAATTGCAATTAATTCTTGTTCAAAGAGATAGTTATAAAATATACCATAGCTGTCTGCTAATTATTTTAGTTAACTTAAAATGACTGTTATTAAGAATATGCTTCATTAATGTTATTTTATATTGTACACAAGTAAAGTTATTATGATAAGATTTTAAAGATATTGTCAGTTTAAAACTTTGTTAATTTTTTCCTCTGAATTCTTAATAATTTTATTAGAGTTGCTTTAGTAAAATATAAAATTTCTAATAATGTCAAATACATTGTTTTTAACCTTATAAAAGTCTAACAGATAAGATATTCTTAATTCATGAATCACATCATATTGAATAAATATATAAAATTAATTTTAATTACATTACTGCATTGTATTACTGTGGGTATGTTATATAAATGAATAATTTATAATCAGTACATTTTGTTTATGATCTAACTATAAATGTAACTTTAATTTCTAAAATAAACATATTATGTGATTAAAATAATTATAAAATTTTTAAAGTATTTTAATGAAATACTTACTATTATTAAGAACACATTGACAAAACCGAAGAATTGGTTGCAAAACTTTTGGTTTATGAATATAAAATTTAGCATGACTTATGACAACAGGTAATGTTCCCATTAGACGAGCTTTTACTGCAAATTTTCTATCTATAAAATTTAAATACAGTTTAATAATTTAATATCAATGACTGTAAATAATGATATTACAATAATTGTACCTTGATTTCCTAATTTTGATAAAATATTATAAAGTGAGGCCATAGCATCATCAGAAGAATGTGAACTACTATTTACAAGTACACGCAAAAGAACATGAATCCCATTAAGTGATAGAATTGTATGATATCTTTCTTGAAAAGCTATAAAGTAATAAAAGTTTTTATATTTTAATTATATTATAAATCATAAATGATCATTTTTAAATTTTACCATTTTTGGATGTTAGCAATTCTTTTAAAATCAGACAAACATTATTAACAACTTTCACATCTTCAACATTCTGGAATAAATTTAATATTTAAAGAAAATTAATATATTTAAATTTATATGAAAACAGTTCTATTTAATGTAAGTAAATTTAGGAAAAAAACCACAAACACAGATTAAAAGACATCATTTCCTATAACAAACAGAAGTAATAAAAGATATTAAGAAATCCTTTTGATTTCCAATTCTATACTCTTTTCTTTTTTAATTTTCTTTCTTAATTTCTATGATTACATGAGCTGAATTAATTTTAGTTTCAAATTTATATTTAAATATAAAATTCTTGTAAAATTATATTTATTGGCTTAAGTTATTTATAAACATAAATAAATAATATATTACAAGGAAAGGCAACCAAACGACCACCTGATTTTTAAACATTTTGTGTTTATAAGTTTATATGAAATTGACCTGTACATAATAATAATAATAATAATAACAACAGCCACCGGTTTAACCGAGTATTACCCACTGAACCCAACATAATAATAATAATAAACCTCCCTCCTAAGCAGTTTCAAGAAAAAAAAAAAATTTCAGTTATTTGATTTATACATCCTAGCACAAATTTATTCACAAGAGTGGGTAATGCCATAGTTATATTTTAGCCTACAAATCTGTATCCCATGGAAGTTCAAATGTCAATTTTATTTTTAAGAATTTTTTAATTTTATTTTTGAGGAAAAGCTGAGTTTTTCCATAACTGATTTATTTATTGGGCTGCAATTTGAAAAAATTGTAGACCTATAAATGTCCACTGTCTATCCTTAATCTCAAGAACAGTGTTAGATAAATGAAATTCAAGACCAGATATGGGGCAGGAGACCCAGATTAACTATATGCAAACTTCTGATGCAAACCTAAAGTCATATTATTTAAATTCAAAAATTTCTCCTGAAAAGAGGTCAGGCATGACTCCATTGCTAACAGAAAAGTATGATGTACAGGAGCAAGACACTACAGTACTAATTTGAAATGAAGAGTATATATTTTAAATTAAATAATTTAAAAATATAAAAAATTGCAGCTTGGCATTGTGATGATGTCACAATAAATAACTGCTCATTTATTTTTGCTATTTTTACTAATTTACTTATTAAATAAATAAAGTAACTAATTAATACAGTAGAGTCTTGATCTCAATAGTTCAAGACACTCTAAGTTCTGAAAACTTACTTCTACTATGTAGCTACATACTAAATTGTTTTTACCTCTCAGGCTACAAGGGAAACTTGTATAGCAAAACCAAACAACTTTTCCATTGGCCAATTTCATTTTGAACAGATAAAGCCAATTTCATGTTTAAAGAGTTAAGCCAAAGTATATGTACTCAACCAGAACATTTAAAAATTATATTCTTGGGTAATTCAAATCAAATGTGTGATGAGACAACATATACCAAAATTGCAATCAGACCAAACAGTTTAACATCAGTTTTCAGTTTATTACATTGTGAGATTATACAGTTGCCAAATATAGTAATAATAATAATAATAATAATAATAGTTAGGAAATTCCTGAATACAGACACTGACACATTTATTTAATTTTAGTTTTGTTTTGGTTGCTATGCCTTGACTCTGGTCCGGCATAGTACACAGCCACCGGTGTGAACCGAGTATAACCCACTAAACCAACATAATAATAATAATGCTTATTGATTGTAAAGTAGCAACACTTAGTAAGACTCTTAGAACATAAAGGAGTAAAAGAAACAAAAAGACCAGTTTTAGAAATGTCCATACTATTAACAAGTAAGTATGCATAGTTGTCTCCTGATATATATTAAAATAATTATATGTAGTTATATGTTAGAATAAATAATAGTATAGTTAAAGAGAGTCTCGTCATTGTCCCAACAATATTCTTTATTTAAAAAGTTCTTGTTATGTAATTTAAATTATTTGGAATTATTTCATTGTATATAGTATTGTGAAAAGTTTACATTTCAAATTTAAATTACTAATATTCCAATGTTCCAATAAATTTTGATTCTATGACATTGAGATAAAATATTCAATTATAAATTTTGCAACATCAAAAAAAGCATTATTTATTCTTTTAAGCAAAAAATTTTTGAATATCAAATTCTTTCTATAAGTTAATAATTTAAAATATTATCTATTTATATTATTGACATACTTTAATTATTTAAATCAATTCAAAAATGACAAAAGAAACCAAAGAAAAATAATGACTTGGTTGAATTCTATCATTTGTTTAGTATACAGATATCCCCCATATAATATGGTAGTTGAGTTCCAAAAAAGTGCAGTGTCATTGTCATACAAATTCATGTTATACAAAATAAAGGACTAGTATAAAACATAGGTTCAGTTTCAAAAGTTAGCAAAAGTATACTATTCTTTTTTGTAATTAAGAAAAATTTGTTTATTAAAACAATCAATAATTAACACCACAATCAAAAGTATTGCATGTTAATATTAATTTTTCTTCACTGCTAAACACTGTTAAATGAGGACTTTTTTGTTTTTGGCAAAATATTGTCATCTGAGATTTCCTGTTGATCTTAATCTGAAGTATCAGCAACATCAATTATTTCATTGTATATAGTATTGTGAAAAGTTTACATTTCAAATTTAAATTACTAATATTCCAATGTTCCAATAAATTTTGATTCTATGACATTGAGATAAAATATTCAATTATAAATTTTCAATTATAAATTCAATTATAAATATTCAATTATAAATTCAATTATAAATTATCTCTATTTTTTCATAAAATCTTAGGCAAATACAAGCAAACAAAAATATCAAAGTTTTTGAAAAGTTTAATCTTTTTATGTAATAACTTTTAATTTAATCTATAAGAACAAAACACAGCAAGTCTTTTAGATTCATTTAAAGCCCTATCACCAACAACAATGACACCTGGTTTAGAAGAAAGCTGGAATAGAAATAAGAATAGGATAAGTAATAAGAAAAATTGTATAGTATAATCAGTTCTCATTAAAGAAAACCAGGCAAAAGGCACAAAACAACATTGAAAATATCAATAATCTAAAATCCATGGGCAAATATGAGACGACAAACATGCCTATGTGAATAAAAAAATATCAAATGACAGTGTTTGCACTTTAAAATTGTGACAATGAGGATATTTCCAATTCTCAAATCATGTTAGAGCAAAACATTGTTGTATGAGGGATACCAGCATCTTGTTAATTATAACAAAATTATTTAATGCAGATATTTAGAATGTTCATAAAATAAAAATATATTAACAACAACAATACATTTATTATTAAAATTATACAAACCTCCAATAATGATATTAGTACATCAAAACCTCTGATTTCTTCTGATACTAAATATTTGCATGCCTTTTCTAAAAAGAAAAAGTATCTATTAGTTTATTTTTATCAATATATATAATAAACATTGAAGTATTTATTTGTATATGCTAAAAATTTCATTTATTATAAAATTATTAGTTATTATATGGATTTGAAAATAAAATATTTTTACTTCTAATAAAACAAAGCTTACAAGTAAACAGTTCAAAATCAAATCAATTCAAACAGCAATTATTTTAATTATTGAAATTAAAATATTTAAATATGCTTATTTTTTAGATATTACAGCAAACAGGAGAAGCTTTTATAAGAACATCTGAGAATTTTTTATTATTTTATTTATTTATTTTATACAAAATTAGGAATTGCCAGACTACAGATGATATCTACCCCAATTAACAAAAATCCCAATAGTAAAGTACAATTAAAACCAAAAAAACAACAAAGAATAAAAACACAGTATATGTTAATGCATAAATGTATCATAATTTAAAAATTTGTAATAAAAATAGAGTTAAGACAATAAACTATAAAAAATAATACAAATTTTAAAAATATATAAAAATATTTCACTTATTGTAAAGATCGAATATATTTTGCATATATAACTAAAATAAAACAATAAGAAAATAAGATTTTACTTACTAATTAACTTAAGTACTGAAAAAATTCTAATTTATGACAGATATAAAATATTTTAACATTTGCTTTTGAAACAAATAAAACTTTCCTGCTGTAAATGTTCTACTTGTTTCCTATTCTCTGCGATACAATAATTGATCTGTGTGACATTGTTAGACATAGATGGGGAGTGAATATACAAGAAGAACTGCAGGTAGATTGAGTGGGTATTTTTAAATAAAACCAGTGTGGACATATTAAACCATTAAAATATTTATAAAAAATAATTCAATCAAAATATTTTGTGTGTTTTTTAAGGTCAGAAAGACTGATTTGAGAATAATATGATATACCTAATACTCTGCTTTAAATGTTTCCAGTGTTTGCCATTTGACAACTGTCAACATTACTTCACTTGGTATTTTAAAAATTCTCAAGCTATTAATTATTATTTCAACATAAACAAATAAAGTGAAATTATGACATAAAAGGGTAATAGATATGCAACAACTTCTAGTCCAATATTAACAATTATTTAATGTAAATTAATAAAATAATTTAAACTACAGACATAAATTTAATTTTTGATTTGTGAATGTAATGAATTTTGTATCTCTGTTGTTTGTGTGTGTGGATATTTATGGTTATCTATATTTATTAAGCTTCTAATTATATAAAACATTTTATGTGACATTACCAAGTTATTTTATAAATTGTATTGTTGTGTAATAATGTCCCTAGGCATACTTTGTACACCTACAATGAGATCAATCAGATTGAACAACACAAATTTTGAATGTTTGTTCCTGTTCTGAGAATGTGTTTGAGTTTTTGGTTAATTTCATATGGCTGCTTTCTGTAATGTGATATGTGTGCTTTATTAAAACCTAATGTTTCCAGATTATTAGTATGTTTTTCCCCTTTGCTCATTAATCTTATGATTCCTAAATGCTGGTAATTTTCAACTTACAACTTGACATATTTATCTAATGATGAAATAACATTTTTAAGTTCTGATTATCAGACACACAAAACAGAATTTTAATAATAAATAAAATTAAATTATGAATAAATTATATTTGGAATTAATATATATAATATNACTTTACTCAAAGGTATAATATTAAAATATAAGAAAAATGGGTTAATTTAATAAATTTCATGTTGTAGATTTTGAATAATCTTAAGGACAATAATGCAGAATCCACTCAAAATCTATTATTCAAACTGCAAGTAAATTATAATGTATTAAAAGTTAAAAAAAAATAGCAATATACAACTTACAATTCAGCAATCAAATATAAATAATGACAAACCATGCATTAAAGCAAATGAAGAACCAAATTGTTGTATTAACAGCAGAAAAATAAATTAAAACTGAACCAAAAGTTTTAATTTATATTGCCAACTAAACCACAAGTTTTAAATATAAATATATTTCAAATTTCAACAAATAGATATTTGACATAACAAAAATAAAATTAATTTGCTTACCTTGTCCAGTAATGATAAGTAGCAATTTAGCTGTATTACTTCTTAGAGAATCTAAATAAATCACACTTCCAATAGTGCCTTTTTGCAATTGTATATGTAGTCTGTCCACACATTTTTGCACTTCACTCAAATTCACAGTACTAGTGCTACATGCATTATACAAGCAAACAAGCAATCAAAATTAATGTTTAGATATTTCAGATTATACAAGAGAAATTTCAAATCATAAAAAATTTTCAAGTATGTGAAATTTATCAAAATTTTCATTTAAACAACACATCTGCATTATTAAACTATCTAACATGCCATTGTTAAGTTAAATAATAAAATATTTTTTAGTAAAGTTATTTTTATACATTTTTATTTTATATATTCAATACCTCAGTTTTAATTTATTAATATAAAATAGAATACTTTTTATTAGTATTTATATATCTGAATTACATGTTTGTAAAAAAGAAAATCCCAATCTATAATATATTAATTGAAAGAGGATTTCAGTTTGTCTGACTTAGTTTGAGTAAACAGCAGGGGCTAAAAGTATGATTCAGGTATCAAATTAAAGCTCTTGATAATCTTGTAGATGATGTCAGTGAAGAGAAATTTGAGAAAGGTGCAGGCACAGTGAAGTGGCAAAGATACAATGTTATGTCTGTGGGACAAACATATCAGGGTCCCACCCATTAACTTTAGTCCAAGTAACTTTTTGTGTTGCAGTTTCATTATTATAAATACCAAGACGAATAAATGTATATTTTAGTTACTATAATTATTGTTTTTATCATCATCTTTTAACTCAACCTCACCAATCTCCACCTTCCTCAAAAACCTGAGCAATTCCAGGCACATGCAGCTAGTCATAATGAATTTTAAACATTTAAATTATATATTATAGTCTAAGTTACATCATTACATCATATATAATTTTTATAATTTAAACTCTGATGCAACATAAACATAGTTTGATCTTCATACCAAATATTAGATAAGAGGAAGTAAAGACACACTGAGTGAGGTGTTAACTTATGTTTATTGTCATCAGACAAACAAAACAAAAAAAAACCATCATAAACCCGCTACAAAGTTCAATTACACTAGATGTTGTGACATCTTGCAGCACATGCATGGTTATAGACTGATCTTAAGGCCCACCAGTGGCCAAGTGGTTCCGTTCCCTGAACACTGGAAGTTTGGTTGTAGGTTTGTGCTTCACCAGGACAAGCTGGTCACATGGAGTTTTCTGGGTTTTCTCCATGTGTGTAATGCCTGAACATGGGCCAATTACCTTTAAAAACACCTGCTGGAAGGCATCCCTCCTAGGCAGATCACCCAAGTGTTGCATTGCCGTAACTTAACAAACAACAACAAAAATGAACAATGTTAAAGGTGTGACACTAGACATACATCACTATTTGACTGTTTATATAGGGCAACCCACACACTGGGTAAATCAAGTATGGGAGTGTTGCATGGCTCCAAGGTTGTTGTGAGGAGACATTCCCATATAAACATGTGTTTCCAGTCACTGCAGCATTTGAGTAGCATTGTTTGAGTCCATAATATGTTGTAGTTCTCATTTGTAGACTTTTGCCAGATGATAATTTTAACTTAATCAAACAAGACACAGTTTGTCCAAAAATATTTTTTGAAAACCACCATTTATTCTAATCACGTCTTCCAGAATACCTTTGATGACCGGACCTTTCTTTAGAGGCTAGTAGGCCATAAGGTTAAAACATTCCTTAAAAAACACAAAAAATATCCAATTAAAACAACAAAGTAAAAAATTGGAACTGATGGATCTTACAGATGTCTTGAGTTTTCATTCTGTCCAGTTAAGGAATGTTTTAACCTGACGGCCTAGTAGCCTCTAAAGAAAGGTCCAGTTGTAGAAGGTATTCTGGAACATATGATTAGAATAAATGGTAGTTTTCAAAAAATATTTTTGGACAGACTGTGTCTTTTTTGATTAAGGTTGTAGTTCTGTACAAGCAGTTATTTTTTGCAATCTCTGGGGTACACTTTCCTTTCACCACGTCATCCTGGTGTTCAGCTAGGCAGTAAGTAAGTACTTGTGTTGTGGCCCCAATGTACCTTGTGTTCACCCCCATTACGAGATTCTCCAACAGTACAGCACAGATTCCCAATTTTTCAAAGGTGGAGAATTTATCCCAATCATTGCAGATGAGTCTGTGCAAATTTGGTAGTGGAAATAGGTGCAGGAGAAAGTTATGTTGCCTGAATATGCAGCAAATGCATATGGAAAGGAGTCTGAGGTACAGTAATGGCAATTGAACTACTGACACCTCCCTCTTGTTGTGTAGTGTTGTGCTTGGAAATAGAGATCTCCTAACCATGCTACACATATGTGTGAACTTAGCAGGTGAAAAACAAGCTGTGTGTACTTCCAAACTGATGGTGTTTAACTCAATGTTTACAAGCACTTGCATTGATGGTAATAAGAATGCTCTTCTAATGAGGACAGTGATAGTGGCATCAACATATTGCAAAGGTTGGAAAGCATCTGATTAAATGATATGAGGCACCATATTAAAATTATGGAATACCGAGAATAGTAATCCTTTAGGGGATCTATGTATGTGCAAATCCAAGAATGCTATTGTCTCATCAACCTCTCAGTAAGAACCATCTGATCTGTATCCTCCCACACTATGAGAATATCATCAACATAATGCAAATACAATAGTGGGTAGTGGATGACAAGTGGAAAATTAAATACAGTGGGTGATCGGTTAACGAACATAATCCGTTCCAAGACTTTGTTCGCTATCCGAATTGTTTGTTAACCGATTATCGATTTACCATAGGTTTCTAGGGGAATTTGATTAATTCGTTCTGGAGACCCCCAAAAATAAAGAAAGTATATACTTTTTTACTACGTTTATTCATATGTAATAATAAAAATACATATATACACGGTCTTGCATTTTTATTAGTCATGTTTTTTCTGTGTGTGGGGGTTAAAGAATCTGTCCAATGTCGATTGCTTTTCTATCTTATTCATAATTTTTCAGAAGTAACTAATAGCATTGTAATTGTAGAGATCCCTAGGCCTATTAACCTCAACTTGATTTGGATGCCATTTTAAGACCGTTGTTCTGACATCCTCCTACTTCTTCAAAAGATCTTTAATAGCAGATATCGGCATAAATCCGCATTTTCAGAAGAAAACGTAAAAGAATTGTTTCTGTCAGAAATACAAAAGGCTGGAATTACAAGGGAGAGTTTCAAAGTTCGGGGGAATACTATCCGATCAGTATATACTGGGTAGAACGTCGATTTCGACGTCTCCCGCGCTCCGAAAAGTTTCGAATTGTTGCCTGAAGACAAAGGAAGACCAATCGGTATTCGTTATTTTACGTCGCTTCTTGTGTTTGTTCAGTGAAGTGTTCGTTATCCGAACATATGTTCGTTGTCCGATCATAAAAATCTTTCGCGAAAGTGTTCGTTATCCAATTTGTTCGTTAACCGATCTGTTCGTTAACTGATCACCCACTGTATTCTGCATTCAATTTCTCTCATGATCAGTTCTGCTAGAACAGCAGATAATGGGGAACCCATAGAAACTCCGTTTTTGTAAATAAACTTTTCCATTAAAACGATAGTAATGGTGCTCTGTGATGAAGATCAACATATCACATATACCTAGCATCTATTGAACACTAAAGCCCTTCTTGAGAAATAAAAAATTGATAAGCATTACAGCTTCGAAAGTGGGCACTGAAGGGTACAAGGATACTATGTCCAGTTTGTAAAAGCTGTACATGCTGGTTCGTACCACACCAATGCCCTAAGTGATAGTGGATTTAGCAACCAAGGACAAGGGAGTAACATAGGGCGAGTCTGTGATCAGTATGCAGAGAAACTTAGCTAGTGTCTTTTCTAAGAAATAGGTAAGATGGGATATCTTGTTTACAAGCAGTTGCAACGGTTAGTCTGTCTTATGCATTTTTGGCTCAAAAAACAATCTGAGACATGCAACATTGGAGGAAGGTCAAGACACCCAGTTAAGACCAATATCACACCTGGTAGAGTTATGATTTTCCCCATTTTCTGTAAGACCATCGGTGTAGGGTCTTCACTTATCACCTATAATTGTGATTGGGAAAGGAATCTGTTGGCCCTGAGGAGGAAGTCTTCTTTACACAACACAAATTTCTCAAATAAGGACAAGAAATTTGTGCTGTGTAAAGAAGACTTATATTAGAACATTATATTCTATTTTTAAAGTTTTGTTTGCCTGATGACAATGAACATAAGTTCATTGAAAGCACTAGCAAAAATAAAAAACAGTTAACCCACATTAAGTATGTCTTTACTTCCTCTTATCTAAACTCTGATGATTCCATATTTTCTCAGTGTAGCAATAGAATATATTAAACAAATTCTTGGATCAGATCTTTAGCCAAGACAGACAGATTATAGTTATCTTTTCTGAGGAAAGGCCACATTTGGAATTCTGTTGAATGACATATTATCTTTCATTTTGTTGATTGAATACTTTATAACAACAATTTAAATCTATAGAAAGTTTAAAACTTTAAATACAATAGTTTTATCTCAAAGAGTTTCAAATTTGTTGAAATATACATATTATGCTAAAGTAATATTAATTTTATATTATTTTAAAGGACCTTGTTATTTGAAGACATAATTTATAGCTCTACCTTAAAAATTTGTAAAAAAATAAATAATTTTTTATAGAATTAAACTTTCCTTACATTCTGATAATTGTCCAAAATTTTCAAATATTTTAGTAATGTCTGTAGATACAGTATTATCAAAATATTGAGCGCAAATAAACTGCAACTTTAATTCTTTTAGAAAATTGATTTTTTCATTGTACATTAAGTCATCAGTTGGCACTTTTCTCAATATAATTTCAATTTCCTCTATTGTTATCTTTTAAACTAAATTACTTTTTTACTATCACTAGTTTAATCTTTCACTATTTCTTGAAGTAGATGAAAAGGGATCATTCCATATATACTATAAATTCATCTGTGTGAAAAGTAAAATCCTATCACTTTTAAGGTTGATTTCCACGTCATGATTTTGCCCAGACCATTGCCTAGCAACAACCCATTTATGAATGCCTAAATCATAGAATGAGGTTTACTCATTTCTCTTTTTTGACAGATACAGACAACATATAGGTCATCAACCACAGCCAATAAGAAATGTTTTCTACTTAAATGTAATATTTCATGAATAATATAAAGGATGAAGAAAGAAAACTCAAGTTTCCTAATAATTTGTTTTGAAAAATAAATATGTGAGCATTAATGTGTTAGCTGAACTTTTAAGCTGTGGAACTAAAACAATATTTTATTTTAAAAATCGAGCAACTATATATTGTGACATTGTTACAATGCCGGCTGCAATTTTTAATCATATTTTTAATTTATTCAATTTAAAATCTATGCTTGTCACTTCAAAGTAGTAGTGACTTGCTCCTGTACATCATACTTTACCTTTAACAATAGAATTATGCCAGTCATCTATCTAACACTTTTCAGGGGAAAATTTCTGATTTGAAATAACATGACTTCCAGTTTGCTCCAGAAATTCATATATAGTTAATCGGAGCATCCTGTCCCTAAGATTTCCATATCTGGTCTCATATATCTAACTCTGTTCTCAAGAATAAGGAAAAACAGACAGACGGATGATGGTGTGAATTTGTGTCTTAAGAATTTATAAGTCCCAATAAAATTAAGAATGAAATGTATATTTCATATTGCTCAAACTATTCATCTTAAAAAAAAACCCAGTCATTATTATGTTTTAATTTCTCAAACTTAATAACTGATTTTTGCTAACTATTTACTCTAAAAACAGTTTTAACATAAAACTTACAAAAACCATATTTTTGTATAATATAAAATTGATGACTTTTTAATATTGAAATATGTATTGTACATCTTTAGATAGCATAAGAATACAAAACTTGATTTACAGTAAAAATACTAAAACGAAACATAAATTATAATAATGATGTATGCTACATTTTAATATTCTGAAGACAGGTGTACACAGTACATTCATATTTATGTCAATGTACTTTAAAAATTATCATAAACTATATATTTTTACAAATGTTGTTTAAATATAATTAAACTATATTTATAAACAAATATATCAAATTTGTTTAAATATGTTATAACAACACTACTTTATTAAAATACTATATTCATTTTTATATACAAAATAACTATAAAATGTATTTAAAAATGCTTTACTGTACTTGAGTTTTCTTTTCAAAATAAATAAACAAAGTCTTTTAAATTTTTATATTATATATGATTTTAGAATATCATATAATTCAGATTAATTTTATATTCATTATATAAATAAATAAAAATGTTTAATTCAATAAATGCAATTAAATTTAATAGCAAAATGGTTTTCTAATATTCTTATATATATATTTTTTCTTTTTGAAATGACAAATGAAATTTATAAAAAAAATTTCATTCAGAAAATTTGCATGAAAAATTAGAAATGCTTTAATTTTATAAATGAAACTAAATAATAAATGAAATAATAATGAATAATAAAACTTACCTGTCCTCCATAGCCAGAATGACCTCATAACATTAACAAAGCTAGGCTAAGGCACTTGTTACAAAACTTTTTGTTGTGTACTAATGACAGGAGATGTTGTCATCTGTTTAAGAAACCTCCTTGAATTAGTTGGAAAATTCTGCTGGGCCTGAAGCCATGAAAGTTAAAATAAGCTACTTCCATTTCTTTCAGTCATGCTTGGTTTACAGTAAGTGCTTACATGACAATTTTATCTAAGCCAAATAAACATATTTTAAAAATTTTATCTATAATGGTCAAGAAATTATATTCATAAAATAATTTAAGTAAATTGTCATTTATGTTATAATAATGGTATTTTTCATAGCAATTATTAAATATTTGCNAATATAATTAAACTATATTTATAAACAAATATATCAAATTTGTTTAAATATGTTATAACAACACTACTTTATTAAAATACTATATTCATTTTTATATACAAAATAACTATAAAATGTATTTAAAAATGCTTTACTGTACTTGAGTTTTCTTTTCAAAATAAATAAACAAAGTCTTTTAAATTTTTATATTATATATGATTTTAGAATATCATATAATTCAGATTAATTTTATATTCATTATATAAATAAATAAAAATGTTTAATTCAATAAATGCAATTAAATTTAATAGCAAAATGGTTTTCTAATATTCTTATATATATATTTTTTCTTTTTGAAATGACAAATGAAATTTATAAAAAAAATTTCATTCAGAAAATTTGCATGAAAAATTAGAAATGCTTTAATTTTATAAATGAAACTAAATAATAAATGAAATAATAATGAATAATAAAACTTACCTGTCCTCCATAGCCAGAATGACCTCATAACATTAACAAAGCTAGGCTAAGGCACTTGTTACAAAACTTTTTGTTGTGTACTAATGACAGGAGATGTTGTCATCTGTTTAAGAAACCTCCTTGAATTAGTTGGAAAATTCTGCTGGGCCTGAAGCCATGAAAGTTAAAATAAGCTACTTCCATTTCTTTCAGTCATGCTTGGTTTACAGTAAGTGCTTACATGACAATTTTATCTAAGCCAAATAAACATATTTTAAAAATTTTATCTATAATGGTCAAGAAATTATATTCATAAAATAATTTAAGTAAATTGTCATTTATGTTATAATAATGGTATTTTTCATAGCAATTATTAAATATTTGCAAGATTATAAAGTATGTAAATAAAATTTATAGTACTGGTAATATTAAAAAATTTAAACTATGATTAATTGATTATAATGTAATTTAATAATACAATATATAGATGTTATATAAAATTTATATACTTTAGTATATAATTTTTATAGAGAGATCTAATAAAAGTCTAATGTTATTTAATTTCTTAAATTTGTTTATACACTTAAAGTTTTATTCTCAGATTTTGCCAAATTTCACTATAAAAAATATTTAAAATCATATGTAATAATTTATATTAAAACATTTAAATACTAAAATTTTTTGTGTGTTGTTTTTAAATTATCATTTTAAAAGTAAAACTATTAATTAAAAAAAGTAAATATAACACTATATTATTAAAACATTAATTGAGTTACTCGGGAAAACACTATGATAAGCACAATTGCCATCACCCAAACGTGATCTTTTGGCTCTTATTCTAATTATATCATCATGAAATTAGATTAATTATAAAATGCTTTCAGTAAAAATTGATGTTAGAATAAAATAAGCAATTATTTATTATGACATCGTCACAATAAATAACTGCTTGTTTTGGCATTTACTATTTTGTTTCCCTGAGCAGCTCAATTCTGTAATAATATTCTAAGCCTTTTATTTTAAATACATTATTTTTCCCAGACAATTTTAAATATTTTATTCTATAACTGAGAACTGGAAATGACAAAGGGTCTAAGCTTAACATAAGGATGTTGATTTTGTGACTAAATTTCAGTATTTTTTTCTGTTTAACACAAAATTTTGTCACAAAATCCATGTCTTTAGGCTATCCATGAAAAACTTATTTTCCTATATTTTATATCTTTAGCATGGAGAGTTTCAGTCATTTTAGCCATCAGTTACTGGAAAGCTTCCTGTGATGAATCTAGATAAATAAATTAATTGTTCAAAAATATTTAAGCAGTTGATTAGTATAAGATTTCTATTAAGATTGTTATTTTGTAAATTCATTATTTGTTTTTGAACATATTACTTCAAAAACAAATTGATTGACTACCATATTAAAGGTTACTGAAACTATAATTAGACAATCAATATTACTAATATTTCTTTTATGTAAAAAATATTATTTAAAAATAATGCTTACTCTTGCAAGTATAATACTTATAAAAATAACCATTATCCTTTTATATTTATAAATGAATAATTCCAATAGTTTAAATAAATTTTTGTTTGAAATCATTAAAATATTCCAAATATGTTTTCATCAGTATTTATATTTACTAATTTCAATTTACTTTCAAAAACACTAAGTTTACACACTTGATTAATTATAATTCGTAAATTGTTGTTTCTTCTAATTTAGTGAATTTACTCTTGATGTTAACATTTGTCAATAAATTATTAAAGATTTGACAGTTTTTTGAAAGTTGACAATAATAATCTTAATCTATAAGTAAAAAGATATTTGATTATTGCTTTTTAATATCATACTATTTACAAAAATTAAAATTATACAGTTTATTTGAAGTAAACTGCCACATCAAGTTAAAGATGAAACAAAATCACGTTGCACTTCAATTTCATTACTATTTATTATAAGGAATAGTGTGCAGATTTCGAAGTAAGTTTTCATATTTATAAGAATTCAAATTTTATGAATAAAAAAACCTGTGTAGAATTTTGTAATTTTCTTAAGTTTTAAACTAAAAGTAATTTTACAAAAAGGTTTTTTGAAATTTTAAGGAACTTCCTGCATATTTGAAAGAATGCTGGTACAAAAATCAACATATGCATTTCTCAATGGTAATCAATTAAGAAATTTTTATTGAGTTCAATTTAGACATTGATTTCCTGACAAAGGATGTTTATCAAAAACATTCCTTTTATAAGTTAGATAAATGTCTTCTTAAATACTTCTTAATTAAATAAAATAGAAATAGATTAAGAATAAAGTACTTCTGGGTGATTTAAGAAATCATTTCTTCTCTTGATTAGAATATAAACCAATGACTATACAGTGGGTGATCGATTAACGAACATAATCCGTTCCAAGACTTTGTTTGCTATCTGAATTGTTCATTAACCGATTATTGATTTACCATAGGTTTCTATGGGAATTTAATTAATTCGTTCTGGAGACCCCCAAAATAAAAAATATATACTTTCTTACTACGTTTATTTATATGTAATAATAAAACTACATACACACACAGTCTTGCATTTTTATTAGTCATGTTTTTTTTCCGTTTGAAATGGTTAAAGAATCTGTCTAATGTCGATTGCTTTTCCCTCTTCTTCAGGATTTTTCGTAAGTAATTAATAGCATTGCAATTGTAGAAATCCCCAAGCCTCAACCTGGTTTAGATGCCATTCTAAGACCGTTGTTCTGACATCCTCCCACTTCTTCAAAGGATCTTTAATATCAGATATCGGCATTAATCCTCTTTTTCAGAAGAAAACATATCTCGCCGAGTTTCTTGGTGTTCTTCATTCAAGAGTTCTTGGCGTTCTTCTGTCGTCAGATCCGTTTCAGGTTCCATTATGAACTCTTCGATGTTCTTTATTTCTCAGATGTGATTTTTGTTACTCCTTTAGCTGCTTGAGTCTTCTTGATTATACAGTATTTTTCTTAAATAAGATTGAACTGCGGCCTACTGTAGACCTGTTCACGCCATACTGCCCAGCAACATTAGGCATCTTCTGCCCACTCTCTACCTTTGCTATTATACTCTCACCTTTCGAAAAGAAAAACAGACGCAAAACTTAACGAGTGCCTACCCGACAGTCTCGCGAATACATAAAAGAATTGTTTTGTCAGAAAAATAAAAGGCTGGAATTACAAGGGAGAGTTTCAAAGTTCGGAGGAATACTATCCGATCGGTATATACCGGCTTGAGCGTCGATGTCGACGTCTCCCACACTCCGAAAAGTTTCGAATTGTTGCCCGAAGACAAGGGAAGACCAATCGGTATTCATTATTTTACGTCGCTTCTTCTTGTGTTTGTTCTGTGGGGTGTTCGTTATCCGATCATGTGTTCGTTGTCCGAACATAAAATTCTTTCGCGAAAGTGTTCGTTATCCGATCTGTTTGTTAACCGATCACCCACTGTATTTAATTTAATGAATATACTGTAATGTTAAAATAATGTAGATTTAATGTATTTAAAAACTTAAAATAGTATATAATAATAATTACATATAAGTAAATATTTTCTTTTCTCCTATAAATATATGTATATATAAACTATACTCTCTTCTAGGTCTGCATTCAAATAATGCACTGAATGATTAAAAGGTTTTTCCTTCTGCAATAAACATTGATTTAAATATGCCTTTGTGATATTTACAATAGTATTATTATTGATTCTGAATTATAGGAATAAATTTTATAACTGACAATAAGATATTATATATATTTATAGATAACATACAAAGTAAAGAAATAAGATTATTATATACAGATATTATATTATATTATTCTATTATGTATAGATGAGATATTGTAGATATTATATGATATTAAGATATTTTTCTATTAATTCTAACATAATTAGACTAATGCAAATTTGTAACAAATTATTAATAATTTTAAATAGAAAAAGCATTTTTAAGCATTCATTTGGTTTTGTTTTATTGTATATGCATTATATATACTTACTGATAATTCTTTGAATATAATCAAGAATTATCAGCAAGTGGCAAATAATAACAATTACAACATACTGTAATACTTATTTGATAATTGTGATTGGAATGTTACTTGCATTATAACTATACACTAATATTACAAATAGTTTGTTTAAATGCTAGATTATTATTGAATATAAATAATTTGTGCTTTTATATAAAATGAAAAATTTTCTTTTAAATTTGTAAATTTTTTTGATAACGATAAATTACATTTTGATATGTGAAATTTTATCTTAATTGTTATATTTTCAAAATTTTCAAATTAAATCAATATATTAAAATACCATTTCTTTTCACTAGTGAAGGATTCAATTTGCTTGTTTCAGGTTACAATTTCCATATATCACACTTTCAAGCATATAAGAACATGTTTTTACATCTAAGTATAAAAGCCTGTTCATATAGATGGGGCAAAATTTGGCACTATAATC